CCACTAAATCAGTAAAATTTACCTATTATAAATATAAAATGCACACAGCAATCAATATATTAGGATTATATATAGAATACTACTATAAATGAGTGGGGTATGAATGAACATGTGTGAGTTTATTAATAATTAATAATGTATCTATTTTTTTTTTCTTTTTTTTATTGTTGTTGTAATTGTTTTAATTATCTTGAAAAAAAAACATTGTTCATCTTATATTGATTGAGAAATGACACAAATAAACACCTGTCATGCATTCCCCCACCAATAATACCACACAAAAACAAAAAAAATGAAAAAGAAAAAAAAATTGATATAAAAACCACTAACACACCACACCTATGCACAAATTGCAACAAAACAAACTATAGATACTATAAGATATTTTTAGATTATACACATATGTTATGTGTTGCTGCTATTCTTTTTTTTTTCTCCTTTCTAATTTTTTTTTTTAATATAAATTTTGATACAATGATAAATTAAATAAATTTTTAATTTATTTTAAAAAAAAAAAAAAAAAAGCACAATTAAATTAATTTTATTGGATGAATATGTTAAAGTTTTTTTTTTTTTTAAAAAAGTTGCTTCAAATTAGATTAGTCTTCCTATCAATTTAAGTATTTTAAATTTTGTAATAATTAATTGGTTATGTTTTTTATAGGATACTTTACTATTAAAGAAAAAATAAAAAATAAAAAAATAAAAATAAAAATTGTGTAAAAACTAATATAACTTTTTGATTATTTTTGGGGGCATTTTTATAATAATCGAATACCAACAATAAATGTACATTTACCCTTATGTTTTTTACAAACATTTAATTTCTATTAAAAATAAAATATTTTATAGTTTTCGACACAACTAAATTAATTAATTAAACAACACAAAACTATTTTAGATTCTATAAATTACTATTACCCAAACCAAAAAACAGTTAAAAACACTATAACAATAAAAAAAAGGATTATTATAATTATAAAAAATAACCTTTTTTTTTTTTTATTATTATTTTACATATTTTTAATTTTATATATATATATTTATATATTTTTTTTTTTGGTATTTCTTTATTTTTGAGTAAAATAGAAATACAGATTTTCATCCATATGATTCTTTTTTTTTTTTTCCATTATTATGAAAAACAAAACATCCAAAGAGATGTTACAAATTTTAATAAATTAAATATACAACTCACACCCTATTTTTAAAAAAAAGAGATTTAAATAAAAATTGAATGAGCTTTATATTTAAAAAAAAATATATGTGTGTGAATGTGAATGATTGTGGTGTTTTTTTTTTTTATTTTTACTATAATACTTACATTTCATAACCCTTCATTATTTAAAAAGTTCTTTTTTTTTTAGAATTAATAAACCTGTTGTAAACTAAAAACGTAGGTTCATTTCAATGTCATGACTTGTTTTGCCTTGTTTCTTTAAAAACAAAAAATTGTATGAAATAAACAATTATTGGCCCACCACAAAAAAAATAAAATAAATAAAAAATACATAATTGGAAAAACAAATAGTGAATGGTGAAGAAAAGTAAAATAAAAAAAAAAAAATAATAATAAATATTTTTTAATCAAAATTTTTCGGTCAAAATAAAGAATAATGTGGAAATTAAAAAAAAATCAAAAATATAGGACCACATCCCGTCTGGGGCGCCTCATTTTAATTTTTTTTTTCTTTTTTTATATTTTTTTTTTTTTTTATAAAAAGTTTTTTTTTTTCTAAATTTTAAAATTTTTAATTTTAAAAAAATATGGGTGTTAATTACAAAAACAAACAACACAAACCCATGCATCTAATCGATGTGTGGTGAGTGTTTTAAATAATTTTCTCTTTTAATAATACAATAATTTTTTATTGCTTCAAATGGATTCATTAGAGATTAACCACACCACACACAAATTTAAATAATAATAAATTTTTATTCATTGCCTACAAGAGGAGTGGCCTGTACTCTTGATGATAAAGGTAATATTAATGATATATATACATTTTTTAAAATTATTAATAATTTATAATAACACCAATTAATTACTTTTATATTAATTTTATTTTAATTACATTTTTTTTTTTTTTTAGATAAAAAAAATATTTAAAGCACACACAAAAAAAATAAAAAAAATATTTTATATTAATTTATTCATTTTAAACAAATACAATTATTATTTCAAAAAACAATAGTCAGAAAATATAAATATTTTATTTGTTTTTTTATTTATTTTTACTCAGTTTTTATTTAGTGTCTTTAATTATTTATAAAATAGCAATAATAATAATAATAATAATAATAATAAAACAATATCAATAACAACAATAATAGCAACAACAATAACAATAATAAATAAATAATAAAGTATAGAGTATAATAACTTTTTTTTATAAAATGGATATTAAATCAAACCACTATGATATTATTATTTGTGGTGGTGGTATTGCTGGGTTAAGTGCATGTAGACATCTATTATTAAAAATGCCAGAGTTAGCAGGTCGTATTGCCATCATTGAGCCACGTTCAGAGAAACGTAACAATCTCGATGAAGATTATAAAGTTGGTATGTATTTTAATAGATATAGCTAATTACAATTTAATTTAATGAAAGAACAAATGTTAATAATTATTATTATTATAGGTGAATCAACTGTTGAGGTTAGTGCAATGTTTTTTGCTAAGGAATTAGGTTTACAAGATTATTTAATTGAAAATCATCCACCAAAATTCTCATTACAATTTCATTGGCCCAGAGATCCAAGCAAAACAGATACCATGGATGACTATTATAGTACATGGGCAGTAAAGAATCCAGACATTCAAGCATTTCAATTAAATCGTTGTAAAATAGAAAGAGATTTATTGAAAATGGTAGTTGCCCAAGGTGCAGTTTACTATCATGGTAGAGTTAGAAATGTAGATTTAACCAAAGGTGATGAAATTAAAACATTGGAGGTCGAATTATTAACAGAGGAGGAAGAATTCAAAGATCAAAAAGTAATTGAAAGAATTATTTTAACAACAGACTATATAGTCGATTCATCTGGTCGTAATTTTGTTGTAGGAAGTAGAACCAACAATATTTTAAAGGATCCAAGTCACCTTTTTGGATTACAAAATGCATCAACATGGGTTCGTGTAAAGAACACTGATCGTAGACTCTTTGAGTTTACCAATCAAAATGTAACATGTAGCTGGTCATATGACACCAACCATTTCTTTGGTCCAGGTTATTGGATCTGGATGATCCCCCTCGAAAGAAGCACAAGAGACTATAGTATTGGCGTTTCATACCATCGTGACAAAATTGCTCCATCCCAATTAAACTCAATGGATAAATTCATGTCATTCTTGGAAAAGAATCAAAAGATCCTCTACAACGTAATCAAAAGTGGTGAAATTGTCGATTTCCACCGTTGGCCAAAACTAGCACATACAAGTCGTACTTTCTTTTCTCAGGATAATTGGTGTGTACTCGGTGATGCCGCTGCTATTTTCGACCCATTCTACTCTACTGGTATGGTTATGATTGCAATGGAAGTCGAGTGTATGACTGAAATGCTCAAGTATAAATTAGCAAAAGATAAAGAAGGTTACCAACTAAGAGTGAACTCTTATGATAAACTAATAAGAGCTGTTACACAAGTTAATAATCATCTCATCAAAGATCATTCAAATCATCTTGGTAATGCATCCGTTATGAGCTGGAGAATCTACTTTGAATCTGCAACTTATTTCTCAGTTCTATTACCAGCATACATTGGAAAATACCATTTGTGTCCCATTTTTGTCGAACATTTTACCTCCGATCACGAAAACAATTTAAATATTCGTAATGAAATGTTAAAGGTTTTAGATCACGTAAACGAAAACAACATCAACATTGGCTTTATGGATAATCATAGAGGCAGTCAACTCTTTGGTAAATGGTCGCCAACATCATCATGGGATCATGACAATGCACTTTCTGACTGCAAGTATGGTCACAAACGTTTAAATCTTCCAAAATGTTTATCATGGAATAACTTTTATCAATCTCTCATCATATTAAAGCTCTACTATCGTGCATATGGTATCTCTGCTCTATGGAATTCATCATTCTTTAAAACCTTCTCTTCAACATTCTACCGTTTCTCAAAATTCTATCTTGTCAGTTTAATTCATGACTTTAATATGATTGGTGTTCCAAAGAATGAGTTTTATCAAAAAATGCAAGATGACTTCAAATCTTACAAATATAACAATGAAGTTATTGATTGGAAATATTAAATATTAATTTCCAAATAATTTATTAAAAAAAAAAGCCAATATATCTATTTAATAATAGTATAATAGTAAATAATATAATAATAGTAAACAATAATAATAATGGTAAATAATATAAAAATAAAATGATATATTATTTTATTTAAAATTTTAATTTATTTACAAATAATAAATAAAATTATTATTTATTATGTTTTTTTTGATTTAAATTTGTTATTTTTTTTAAAATTAAATTGATGAAGTTGCGTTATAATTGTCTGGGGTATTACTTGTATTATATATATTATTTTCTTCATCTTTTTTTTCTTTAATTAAAGATTGTGACTCTTCATGTGTGTCAAAACAACAATCTCTATTTCTTAATGCTACAATCGAACAAACTATCATAAATATACCTGCAACACAATTGAATAACACTGTACCATAAAAATACTCGAATGAACATGAAACATTGCCCTCTACATTTTTCTCACAAAAACTTTTTGATTTTCCAATTGCCAAACCATCAATAACTGTTGAATAAAGTCCAAAACCACCACAAAGTAGTGCAAAAAATGAAAACTATAATAATAATAATATTTATTAGTATAACTATATATTTTAAAATAGTGTATACATTATATAAAAAATAAAAACCTACAATCATGAAAGATAATCTTTTATGTTTAAATAAAAATGTAATTAATAAACTTAATAATAGTAAACCTGCAAATCCAATTACAATACGAATTGCTGAATATTTAGCTGCCCACCCACATTGATAGTATGCACCGTTTTCAGTGAGTCTATATGGTACGCTTGAACCTGCTAAATTACAATCCTCTACATCTGCTATTGCATTACTTGATTTTCTATTGGTTGCTTGTGTGAAACTGAATCCTAATACAACTAAAACTAAAATCTAAAAAATATCCTTATTAATAAAATGAATATATATATATATATTCTTTAAAATATTTGATTAAATTTAATTTTATAAGGTCCATACAATATTTATAGCAAATAAAATAACTATTTTAAATCTTTTCATCTTATGTTATCTATTTTTATACCTATATACCAAATTTTTCAAGAAAAAAAATAATAAAAATTTAAAAAAAAAATAAAATAAAATAAAATTTTAATGATTTTTTTTTTTTTTTTTTTTTAATTTAATTACCGAATTATTGGAGTTAATTTCTTTTATTTGTATCTAAATAACTTAAAAAAATTAAATTATTTATTTCATCCATCCTCATAAAATCTAAAAGATCTCTATAATAAATCAAAAACAATCATTTTAAAAACACACATAAAATAAAATAAAAAAAAATTTCGATAGAGACGACACACCAACACGAATGCATATTAATACAATTTTATTTTTTTATACATTTTAATATAAAAATCACACTAAATTATACTTAAAACACAAAACATACATACACACACAACACACCACACAACACACATATACAATTTAATCAATCTTCTTTTTAAAAACAAAAAAAAAATAAACACATACAAAAATATAATGAATATTTATTTGATTAAAAGATTTTACTTTAAATAAAATGTATTTTATATATATATTAATATGACACCTTAATTAATCATTTTTAAACTATTAAAATGTAAAAAAAAAATTAAAATATCAACAAATAATATATATTATTCATTATTTATAATATATATCTTTTTTTTTATTATTTCTTTGTTTTATTTCTTTTTTCATTTTTTTTTTTTCATTTTTTTTTTTTGATTAATTTTTTTTTGTTATAGACAATTAAAATTTTTACATTATCCAATGGATTTTGTGTTAATAATAGATTCATTCACTTAAATCTAAATAAAATATTTATAATAAGTTTTTACTTTTAATTTTGGTAAAATATATACATTTATACACCAATACATATATATACATAACCAAATTAATTTTATTTTAATTTTAATTTAAATATATTTAAATTTAAAATTAATTTTTTTTTTTTCTTTCTTTTTTTTTTTTTTTTTTTTTGTTTTTATATTTATGTCTAATAAAATAAAGTAGATATTTTTTTTATAAATAATTGGTAATAACACCAACACAATAAAACATAATAACAATAACAATAAATTTTTTTATAAAAACAACAACTAAAAACATTGTAATATATAATTAATAAATAAAATAATCAATAAATTTAATTTTATAAAAAAAACTATTGTGGTTATTGTAATTGTTAATGTCTTTTTTATTTTTTTAATATTTAATATTCTGATTTTTTTCTAAACACATAACAATAAATTATAATCTTTAAAAATAATAATAAAAAATAATAATAACTTTATAACACTATAAAAAATAAATATAATAATTAATTAATTAATAACAATCATAATAAACACTATATAATAAAAATCAATAACTATTACATTCAATAGTAACTAATATATACATATAAAAAATGATTGTTAATCAACCAATAATTGAATTAACAAAACAAGTTGCAGTGGCAGTCGAAGAAATTAAATTTTCACCAACCAATACAAGTAATAGCGGAAAACAACAAAAACAAAATAGTTGCGACTCACCATCTGCTAAATCAAAGACTGGAGCATCCACACCACAAACACCTTTACAAAATCAACAACATTATTCAATGAATTCGTTGAACCCATATTATGCACAACAAGTATTACTACAGTATCAAAAACCAGCAACCTTTGTAAAACATGTTCATGTAGTTGTAAAGAATACTCCGTTTGGAATCACTTTAAAATCAAAAGAACCATTGCAATTTAATTTTCAAAACTATGTAATAAAAGCAACTTTACTTTATGATAGTGATCCTCCAAAGATGGTAGATTTCATTCACAATGAACCATTACAATATGTAGCAACCGTTAGTGAAGATGGAACAGAGGTTACTGTTGATGTTAAAGTTGGTATTCTTTCGAGTCAGCATCAAGGTTCAATGTTTTTAGTGGTGCTCCATGTTACACATTGCTCTGCTCCAACACCCTCCAATACAGAACCAATAGGAACCATTTTGACAAATATTGGAAATAACTCTTTACATAGTTTAAACTTAACGAATTTATGTGTTGTATCTCATCCTATCCGAATCGTATCTAAACTGGACCACGTTAAAAAAGAAGGTATTCCCATTTTAAAGAAAAGAACCTTTCACGAAATATTAACCGATAAACTAAAGAAATTACAAAAATCACAAGATAGCCAAAGTAAATGGATTAAAAATTTATATCAACAACATGGTGCAGATTTTGATATGGAACCATATAAAGAATCAAAAATATCTTCATCATCTTCATCATCATCTCTTTTATTAATTGACAGCGGTAACTCTTCATCATACTCATCAAATACATCAACTCCATCATTCGCATCTGCAAAACCTAATAAAAAGCAACACCCACCACGTGAAGACGAAGAAGAGGAAGAAGAAGAGGAAGAGGAGGAGGAAGAAGATAATGAAAGCGAATCAAGTAGTACCCAACTAATTGGTAAAAAAATTATTAACAATAATAACAACACTACTATCAACACTTCGATAATTACAACAACAACCAACAATTGTATAAATTCAAGTAATAACTTTCAAAATTCATTTAATAGGGTCGTTGAAGTTTATAATTTAATTCCAGATTACGAAAAACAAGATGTGATTAGAAAAATGGTGGAACAATTAAAATCCATTGAATTGGAACAATTGGTAACAACTTTTATAGATGAATTAAAAAGTGGTTATGAATCAACTATAAACTCTGCACAACTAATGTAACATTATAATAAAATTAAATCGTATATATATACTCTTTTGTATTATTAAACAACCAAAAAAAAAAAAAAAAACATTGTAAAATTCAAATAGTTGACGAATATTTGTCAAAAAAAAAAAATAAAAATAAAATTCACACACCCCAAAAAAAAAAAAAAAATTTATTTTTTTAATTTTTTTCATTTTTTTTTTTTTCATTTTTTTTATAATTATTTAATAAACTATTAATATTAATCTTTAAAGATTACAGATACTTTTTTATAATGCCCAAAATAAAAACATCAAAGAAAAAATTTCCCAAAGGATGGGATATTGTAGAACCTACTCTAGAGGAATTCGATATAAAGATGAGAGAAGGTGTGTAACTATGTCAATATCTCTTTATTATTATGAAACAATAGAATACTAATAAACACCATATATACTTATTCAGCTGAAAACGATTCTCACGAGGGTAAAAGAAAAACAGAATCGACTTGGCCAATTTTTAGAATCCATCATCAAAGATCAAGATATATATATGAATTATTTTATAAAAATAAAGAAATTTCAAGAGATTTATATGATTTTTGTTTGAATGAAGGGTATGCGGATAAAAACCTAATTGCAAAATGGAAAAAAGCAGGTTTTGAAAGATTATGTTGTTTAAAATGTATACAGGATCCAAATCATAAATGTATTTGTAGAGTACCAAGAGTAGATTTAGATAAAGACCAAATTATCGAATGTGTCAGTTGTGGTTGTAAAGGTTGTGCAAGTGGTGATTAAAACAACATAAAGCAAATTAATAACCAACAATTTATAAATAAAAATAAAAAATAGAAAATTTAAAACTAAAAACAACATAATTAAACTATAGTATTTATTGAAATAATATCATTGGGAATACTTAATTTAATAAGTAAATAATAAAGAGAATAAGTGGATGAAAATGTGTATAAAGTAAAGCAAATAATCTCTTCTTTTTTTTTTTTAAATTTATGTTTTTATTGGGTTTTTTGTTTTTTTAATTTATTTCTTTTTTTCTAAAGCAAACATTAATACAGGGAATAAATTATTTGGGAAATTTGGTTGAACCATGGTTTTAATAATATTACATCCTGCTTGTTCAAAAAGATATTTAAAGTGTTCTTCAGTTCTTGATACAGAGTTATCTTCTTTGTCCATTACAAAGGCCTTCTTTGCGACATTATCTTTGATACAAACAATTCCATTTGGTGCTAATGAATCTAAACATCTCTTTATAAACTCTATAAAATCACGATCGTGTAAATGACCTACAACCCATTGAATCCAAATACAATCATATAACTTTGGAAATTTAAAATCTTGTAAACCAACTGCATAAAAATTTTGAACTTTTTTTTCACTGCAAATATATATAAAAAAAACAATTAATACACAGAATCTAAAAAAATATTGGTATCATATTAGCATAGAGTGGGTGGTTAACCACTTACCTTTTAAAAATTTCTTTAGCTTTATCTAAAAATAAACCATTTTGTTCTACTAAATCAACATTGTTGAAACCGACTGGGACTAAAAATTCTTTGGTAACTCTTCCAATACCAGCACCACAATCTAATGCATTATCCAATTTCATTGGTTGTCTGGTTTCGCTGCCTTTGATAAAATCTTGTAAAAAGAATTTTGATGCAACAACATCCATTGGTGAAACTTTGGATAAACCACCAAGCATACCATCGACGGTTGGTTCGACTTTTTTCCAATATTCATCTGCTAATTTATACCATTTATCATCTAAACTATCTTTGCCGTCTACTTCTTTTTTCCATAAATCTTCAAGATCTTGATAAACATTTCCTTCTGAATCTGTTCCTCTATTTAATAATTTCTTTGGATAGCTCAATTTACTTTCATCGTTAGTAATGTTTTCTGTCATTTTATTATTTAATTTATGATATTTATAAATAAAATTAATCAAAAAAAAAAAAAATTTGTTTTAAAAAAAAAAAAAAACGAAAAAAAAAAAAAAATTTTAAAATTTTTAAAAATATGATTAATTTTATTTATTTTAAACTCTCGCTATAAAATTAAATCAACTTTACAATGAAGGTTTAAATATATAATATATCCTTTTAAAATAAAAAGAAAGCAATTGTTTTTTTAAAAATTAAAAGAAATATTTAAATCTAAAATTAAAATTAAAAAAATAAATTAAAAATTATTATTTTAAAAACCAAATAAAGTAATTTTTTTTTTTTTTTTTTAAAAACTTAAAATTAAAATAAATTTTCTTTATTTTTAAAACAATATATATTTCCTAATTAATTTTTTTTTTTTATTTTAATTTCGAATTAATAAAATGGAAAGATATAAAAATTTAGAAAAAAAAGATAAAAGTATGGGTAAAATAAAATAATTTAAATATTTGTACTAATTTTTTTTTTTTTTTGTTTTTAGGTATTTCCGCTAACCAATATGATTACGATGGAAATTTGTACAATGGCAGAGATCTTAGAACATTAACCAAAGGAAATTTTCTATCAAGATGTAGAAATGTGTCAGATGAAGACATTGCCTTTATAATGCATGCATCCACTGAATAAATTTTAGTGATTAATAAATAGTAATTAAATTATTTTTAATAAATTTATTGGCATATAGTATATAAATTATTACTTGAAATATACCCCCAAATTAAATTAAAAAATATAAATTAATTTTAAAATTTTTTTTTGAAAATTACTAAAATTGTTTTTTTATTTTTATTTTTATTTTTATTTTAATTTAAATAAATATGTCCCCAATAATATTAATAATTTTGATACTAATTGAATGAAAAAAAAGGTATTAAGAAATTATTATTTTTTATTATGATAATAGTCATCCCCCCAACAAAAAAATAAAAAAATAAAAAATAATAAAAATAAATAAAAATTAATTATGAAAAAAAAAATAGTAAATACTTTTTATTAAAATTATAATTTTATTATTTATAATCATTTTCATTTATTTTAGTTTGAATAATTAAAAAATGGATAAGAAAATAGGTAAGTTATTATAAAAAAGAAATAATTTGTATTTAATAACAATAATATGTAAATAATAAAAACCATAATTAAAACAAAATATTTTATAATTTTATTTTACCAAATAGCTATTAACATATAATATCTTTTAGAACAATTAAAATGTTTTGAAAGTAGCCCAAAAGGTGAAAACTCAACTACAAATTTTGGAGTTAAAATCTCAAATGATGAAAACACCTTAAAAGCAGGTCCAAGGGGTCCTTCATTATTAGAGGATTTTGTTTTTAGGGAAAAAATGACCCATTTCGATCATGAAAGAGTATGAAATATTATTATTATTGAGTTTTTATTTATATTTTTATTTATATTTTTATTTATATTTTTATTTATATTTTTATTTTTATTTACAATTTTATTATTTTTAGATCCCAGAAAGAATAGTTCACGCAAGAGGAAGTGGTGCACATGGTTATTTTGTTTCATATGCAGATCATAGTAATCTTACAAAAGCAAGTTTCCTTTCAGCAAAAGATAAGAAAACACCTCTTTTCGCTCGTGTTTCAACTGTTCAAGGTCCTAGAGGTTCAGCTGATACCGTACGTGATGTTAGAGGTTTTGCTGTTAAATTCTATACTGACGAAGGTAATTTTGATATTGTTGGAAACAATATTCCAGTTTTCTTTGTTCAAGATGCAATTAGTTTCCCAGACTTTGTACATGCTGGTAAGTACTAAAATAAAATAAATAATAATAATAACAATTATCATAATAATACTAATACTAAATTATTTTTAATAATTTTTTATTTTTAGTTAAAATGGGTAAGGATTTAAAATAAAATTTATTTATTTTAAAAATATATTTATTAATTATTTTAATATTATTTAGAACAACAAAACGAAATGCCAACTGGTGGATCAGCCCATGATACATTTTATGACTATATAAGTTTAAAACCAGAAACTGCTCATACAGTAATGTGGGTAATGTCTGATAGGGGTATTCCATTGTCAATTCGTCATTTACAAGCATTTGGTGTTCATACTTATAGACTAATTAATGCTCAAGGAAAATCAACATTTATCAAATGGTTTTGGAAACCATTAAGTGGTACTCTTTCATTACTTTGGGACGAAGCACAAAAGATAGCTGGAAAAAACGGTGACTATCACAGAAAGAGACTTTGGGATGATATCGAAGCTGGCGATTTTCCACAATGGGAGCTCTGTGTTCAAATTTTATCTGATGAAATTATTGAAAAGTTTGAATTTGACATTTTAGACCCAACAAAATTTATTCCAGAAGAACTTGCACCAGTTACACCAGTAGGTAGAATGGTATTAAATAAGAATCCAGATAATTTCTTTGCTGAAACTGAACAAATTGCTTTTTGTGTTTCTCATGTAGTACCAGGTATAGATTTCAGTAATGATCCATTACTCCAAGGTCGTATTTTCTCATACTTAGATACCCAGCTAAGTCGTTTAGGAGGTCCAAACTTTAATGAAATCCCTATCAATAGACCAGTTTGCCCATTTGCAAATACCCAAAGAGATGGTATTCATAGAATGACTATTAATAAAGGTGGTGCTAACTATTTCCCAAATTCAATTGATGGCAATTACCCAAGACCAAAAGAAGAAGCTAGTGTAAAAGGTGGCTTCCTTCCATATCCTGAAAAAATTGATGCTGTTAAAACCTACAAGAGAAGCGAAACTTTTAATGACCATTTCTCACAAGCAACCATGTTCTGGAATTCAATGAGTCAACACGAAAAGAACCATATTGTTGATGGTTTCTCTTTTGAACTATCAAAAGTAACCAGAAGAAACATTGTAGAACGTGTTGTCAACGAATTTCTCATCAATATTGATAAGACCCTTGCAGAGAAAGTTGGTAAAAACTTGGGTGTTACAGTAGAACCAAAAGTAACAAAAAATATTCAAAAGAAATTAGTAAAACCATCACCAGCAATCAGTCAAGTAAATCTATTATCTGGGGATATAGCATCACGTAGAATTGCTGTACTCATCTTTGATGGATGTGACACAGAAGATGTTATGTCATTTAAAAAAGAAATGGAAAAAAGAGATGCTCATGTAGATTTACTAGCCCCATCAAATGCACCAGTCAGAGGATGTGACGGTCCATCTTTAACCCCAAAGAGTAGTTGGGTAAGTGAACCAAGTATTTTCTATGATGCCGTTTATGTTCCATCTTGTGGTCAAGAATCATTAGAACTCCTTCAACACAATGGTGATTTCCTTCACTACATTTTAGAATCTTACAAACATCTTAAAACAATTGCATTTAGTGGTTGTCCATCAATTATCAAAGAAACTCTTCGTTTAAAACAAGATCTTGGTTTGATTTTAGGTCAAGGTTGGAGAGATGTTGTTGAAGCTTTCACCTATTCATTAGCACACCATAGAGTTTGGGAAAGAGAATCATTGGCCAGTACCATTCCAGCTTAGATAATTATCAGTTCATTAAAAAAAAAATAAAAAAATAAAAAATGAATCTTGTTAATTTTTTAAATAAATAAAAAAAAAGGAATAAAAAAACTTGTTTTTATTTTTTGGCTATTATAAATATAATTATTATTAACAGATTAAACAACAATCTCTCTTTTTTTGCTTTTGGCCCATTAATGGTTGTTCATCTGAGTCATCGTTTACTGCATGGCTTTGATTTAATTGAGCTTGGAGGTGTTTATTTAAGGTGATGGTATCTCTTAATCTTTGTTCTAAATCTTCTACTTTATCTCTTAAAATCTTTGATTCGTCCTTCATTTCAATTGCTATTTCTCCTTCATGTTCGTATCTCTTTAACTTTTCTTTCATAACCTTTGATGATTTCTAAATGTTAGTAAAAAATTATAATAATAATTTAATTAAAAAAAAAGGGATAATATATAATATTAAAATTATTATTATTAAAAAAAAAAATGAAGTTAATATTTAGTAAACCACCTTGAATGATACTATAGATAAAAAGAGGAGAAAAAGTTGAGTAGAGATGGAAACATATAATTATGGGCATTGATAGATTCGTAATATAACCATTTTTATCATTTCTCCCCTTTTTTTACCATTCTTTTATATAAAACTAAAAATTTCTAATCAATATACAATTTAAAAATATAATGAATTTTTTTTTTTGATTCATTTTTAAAAAGTAATTGAAATAATTGAAATTATTGTTTTATATATTACGATTTGGTTTTGATAAATGATTAAATAATAATAATAATAATAATAATAATAATAATAATAATAATAACTATATATATTTTAAAAAAAAAAAGGTCCCTTAAAAAAAAATGAATAAATTAAATTACTTACCTTTTCATTATTTTGTAATTGAGCAATATTATTTTCAAATTCCTGTTTCATTGATTGCATTTTTTCTGTTAAAGTTTGATTGTTATTTTGAGCAGCTTTAATTTCTTCTTTAACCATTAAGTTTTGATATTCGAGTTCTCTATATCTTTCGTTTAATTTTTCATTTTCTTTCTTTAATTCATCGATTAAACCATTATTGACTGGAGCAACAATTGGTTGGGAAGCTAAGGTTTCATATCTGTTTAAGTCTTGTTGTAGTTTATTATTTAAATTATTTAATGATGAAATTTCATTTTGTAAATTTTCAATTGAAGTGGCTGAAGTTGATTTAACCAAATTATATTGTTGGGTTGATTGTTGTTGTTCTGCTGCAATATTGATATCTCTTTGAGAGGTTGATGGTGAATCTACTGGGGTCAATGAGTTCTTTAATTGGGTGTTTTCATTGATTAAATTATTATTCTTTGATTTGAGCTCCTCTAATCTTTGTCTTAATTGGGATATTTCGTTTTGAGTTTGACCAGCTTTAATATTGATTGGATCTGAAAGGTTGGATGGTGTTTCGGTTGATTTAACTAAAACTTCTTGGTGTGTTTTTAATTTTGAATTATCTACCTCTAAAGTATCAACTTGTTTGAGTAACTTATCATTTTGATCCTCAATCTCCCTAAGTTTATTTGATAACTCTTCAATTTCTCTTAACTTATCTTCAATTTCTTTATTTTTGATTAATTGTTCATTTGATTCTTGAGAGGATTTACCTTCGGCTAACTCTTGTTTTTCTTTATTTAATTGTTCAATTGATTGTAATAATTGTTGTTTTTCATTATTAAATTGTTCCATTGATTGTAATAATTGTTTCTTTTCACTATCAAAGCTCTCAATGGATTGCAATAATTGTTGTTTTTCATTTGAAAGTTGTTCTAATTGCTTCTTTGACTCTTCATTAACAATTTCTAATTCTTTTTGTTTTTCAGAGATATTTAATTTAAGAGATTCTATTGAATTTAATAACTCTTGATTACCATCTTGGTTTGATTGCTCTAAACTAATAACCTGTTCATTTAATTGTTTTTTTTGATCTTGTAATTCAGATACCATTGATTGAAGTCTATCATTATTTTCTTGATGTTTCTCTGTAAGGTCTTTGTTTAATTTTTGTAATTGTTCAACCATTTCTTCTAAATGTGCAACCTGTTGTTCTTTTTCTTTGAGGGCAAGATCGTTGTTGCTATTATCATCGTCTGAATGAAGTAAAATATCGTCACTACTTTCACTTAGGATATTTTTGGTGGCAGCTGTTGGAGTGAATCCGTTTGTATTGGTTCTAATTGAAATTGGTGATGATGTTGGAGTATTGATTGATGCCATCATTGAATCACGCAATGGCGATTGTTCAAAACTTGGAGTGGTTCCAAGACGAGTGGCAACTTGGTGCTCAAGCTCGCTTAATAATGAAAGCTTTAAGTTTGGATCGAAACTTGAAGCGGTTTTACTTTGAATTTCTTCCAAACTGCCTTTTAATGTTTGAATCATTTTATTTGAGGACTCTAGGAGATCTCTATCACCGTGGCTCTTCTTTTGCAATTTATTTAACTCTTCAGTTAAGAGTTTGATGGTTTCTTGGGCTTTTTCACTCTCTGCAATAAGTGTGGTTTTGAGGCTATTATTTTCATGTAATAATTGTTCAGCTTCGACAATTGGAATGCTTGAGGTCTCTTGTTGGGTAGTTGATGCATGATCTCTTTTTTCTAATTGGATTTGTTGTTGTAGTTCTTTTAATCTAGTCTCTTTTTCTTGTAAATCCCTTTCTCTATTTTGTAACTCGAGCGACATTTGTTCTTTATCAAATTTCAAACGACTTTGATTCTTTAATAACTCTGTCTTTGAATCTTCAATTTCAACCAATTTTTGCTTTAGATCTTCAACCTCTTCTTGGAGCTTTTTGTTTCCTAAAGAGAGCTTTTGGTTTTCGATTAAAGTCTTTTTGCCTATTGTAATAGACTCTTTTAATTGAGCATTGTCCTCAGAGAGCTTTTCTTGGCTTTCTCTAGCCTCTTTTAATTGGCCTTCAAATACTTGTAATTTGGTACCAAGATGTTCTTTTTCAGTTCTTAATAAAGCGGCTTCTTTTTTATATTTATCTGCTAAATTATCATTAGAGTCAAATACTTGAATTTGATCCTTTGAATAGAGATCGGTTCTTCTCTTAATCATATTAACAATTGAATGTGGTGCAACCCATGAATTTCTGCCGCTTCTACTGCCTCTTCTACTCTTCTTTTCAAATGGACTTTCAGGTCTACCAGTACTAAATGATGAGTTGTTGTTACTGTGATCATTATTATTGGTGCTAAATGAACTATGATCATGAGCTTCCTCTAATTCTGTATCTGAATGTGGTTGGTCATTTAAATCGGTACTATCGTGATGCATTGGTGAACCTGTTATTCCGTCTTGATGATATTCAATACTGTCTTGTTGTGGTGAGTTGATTTGTTCTATAGCTTTCATAAAATTTTCAAATGAAATAGTTTGACTGCCATCAGCTGATAAAGTATTTATGATATAATCTATGTCGTCATCATCTTTGTCAAATTCTTCTGATTTTGTTTCCTCACCATCTTCATTAACAGTTTTATCTTTAATATCTTGTAACATACTACGTAATTGATCTATAGAAACCAAGCCATCGTTATCTTTATCGAACAATGAAAATATAAAACGTAAATGCTTTTCTTGATCGATTTGCTCCTCGATCTCTTCGTCAATATGGTTGTTACTATTTAAAATCTCCTCAACACGTTTGTTATTAATCTCCTCACTATCTAATTTTTTGTCACTATCTTCTTCTTCTTCGTTTTTACCATTAATATGTGAGACCTCTTCTTCATTACCATTAATATGTGAGACCTCTTCCTCATTTAAAAGATCGTTATTATTACACCCAATTAAAAACTCTTCTAAACTGATTCTACCATCTTAATAACAATAAAATAATTAATTAACTGTTTATTTAAAAATATTTTCTTTTGTGGATTTAAAAAATATTACCTTTATCTAAGTCGAATTTGTTTATTAATGTTCCAACTTCTTCCTCCTAAAAAATTAAAATGAATTATTAGTATGATATTTTCTTTTTTTATTTTTTTTTTTTATTTGATATTTACAGTAAAATCTCTACCGGTAATTTTTGAAACTGTTTGTCTAAGCTGATCCTTTTCTAAGTATCCGGTGCTTTGAGTGTCAAACTCGTTAAATAATTTAACCAAATAATCCTGTTTATGATTTACAACAATCTCGTCTTCCATCATTTTATTTTTTATTTAATAATTTTTTTTTTTTTTTTAAAACTATTTTTTTAATATATTTCTATTATATATTATATTTGAAAAAAAAAAAAAAACTAAAAAAAGGCTATTTAATAATAACAAATTAGTATTTAATTATGATGATGATGATAATAATAAAAATAACAATAATAATAATAATAATAATAATAATTTGATATTTGATGTAGTGGGAGAGGATATTAATTAAACTTAAATAAAAAAAATTTTAAAAAAAAAATAAAACAAAAAAAAAAATTTAGTTTTGATAAGATCTATCTTTTGATTATAAAATATATTTTTACTTTAATACAACATCTGTATTATGTATGTGTGTATGTGTGTATATGTGTTTGTGCGCGTGTGTGAGTTTGTTTTTGTGTATGTGTTAAAAACAATTATAATGTAAAAAAAAATTAGGTTGTTTCTCTTAATTAAAAAAAAAACTATGGTGTTTGACTTGGATATTACTTTAGTGCACTTTTGAGTTTCTATTGTATTTTAAATGATATTATTATTGTTTATATGAATAGATAAAAAAAAGATATTCTTTATTTAATAATATACAATTAAATTTAAAAAAACAATAAAAATAAAAAATAAAAAATAAATTTAAAAAAAAAATAAAAAAAAAAAATAAAATTTTAAAAAAATAAAACAAAACAAAATAAAAAAAAAAAAAGTTAAAAAACAAATATATTCTTTTTTGATTTTCTATAATAATTATTATTACTATTTTAAAATTTACCTTTAGATTATTACTTACTTTATTAGTGTTTTATTTTTTATTTTATTTTTTTATTTTTTTTTTTTTTACTCAAGATATATTTTATTTGTGAATGAAACAAATTTGTTTATTTGAAACAATGGGTTTTTATTAAAAAAATAAAAATAAATTGATTTTTCAAACGAAAAATAAAAAAAATTTAAACCAAAAAAAAAAATTAAATTTTAATCAAAAAAAAAAAAAAAAAAAAAAAAAAAGTCAGGAAACTTATAAATTCAAAAATTAAGTTTATTTCTATATTAACATATTTAAATATGTACATTTTATTTATATAGTGTTTTAAATAATATTTTATTTTATTAAAAAATTTACGAAATTCTTTAAACAAATATAAATATTTTATTACTGGTATTTGGATATTTAATGTGGGTCCCAAAAATTACCCCCAGCAACACAGTTAAATAAATATATAATATTTCTAATATAATATTATATTTATTTATTTATTGTATTGTTTTATTTATTTATTTAAAATGACTTATTATTATAAAATACGTGTTTTTTTTTTATAATTTATTAAAGAGGAAATCTTTGGGCAAATATTGAACTGTATTATGTGAAAATGAATCCCGCTCCTTTTTCCACCGTTAAAATTTTTTTTTTAAATTTTAAAAAAATTCACATTTGATTTTTTTTTTTTATTTTTACTTTTAATATATTATAGAAGCACATAAACTTTATAATTATAATTTATATTTATAAATCTTTAATTAATGTTTTTTATTAAAATAAAATAAATAAAAAAAGAGGTTTCTTTTTTTTGTTTTTTTTATTTTTTTTATTTAAATTTAAATATATTATATATAATAATAGTAATAAAACAATTTAAAGAAAAAATCACTAGAGATTTTATTTTAAAAGTTTGATGTATGTATAATTATATTAAATATTACTATATGTTTTTATTGATCGATATATAGTCCCACTAAAATAATGATTAAAATAAATTATTTATCTACAATTTTTTTATTATTTTTAATCACACACACAAACACATATATCAAATCTTAATGTTTTATTTTTTTTTATTTTTAACACAATACATATACTCCCACATTACATAATGATTATCATTGTTACGATTTCATTGTGGATAAAAAAAAATTATTATTATTAATATATACTCAAACTTAAATAAAATAATAATAATAATAATAATAATAATAAAGTCCAATAAATAATTTTTTTATTCACTTAAGAGTTAATTTTTCTTTTTTTATTTATTTTTTTCTTTTTTTTTTTTAATACAAATATATTTAAAATATGGTTTTTTCTTTTTTTATTTTTTTTATTGTTATTTAAATTTTTAGATTATAATAATTATATACCCCATAATTATTTTATAATAACATAAATAATAGTTTAAACATTTAAATTAAATCATTGAAATAAATTATATAAATTTATTTTAAATATTTTTTTTTAATTAATTTATTGTTATTATTCTATATTTATTCTTTTATTTAATATAATATTAATTTATTTTATATGACAATAGAAAAAGAAATCTAAAATTAAAGAATGTCAACAACACAAACAGACTCACCAAGTTATTTAACAAACCATGATCCAAAGGCACAAAGAGAGGGATTAAAGAAAAGAAAGAAATTAGAAGGCGCAAAAGAAAGTAGTAGTCCATTAAATAAATTACGTTCAGCAACCTTAAGAAATGGTGGCACACCATCAAAATTAAAATTTGTAGTTGATTTGGGGTCAAATTTGGGTAAATCACCAAGTAAGTCAACAGCCAATGCATTATCATTACACTCTAGTGTGCCACAACATAACAATTATGTACCATCACCTACAGCATCACCAATTTTATCACCACTATCATCATTTTCAAATACAAATAATCTCAGCTCTCCAATAGTAAATACACCAAACAAAAAACACAATACATTACATAGAAAATCAATGAGAGCTTCAATGCAGCTTAAAATTGATGAGGTTATGAAAATTTATGCGCCATTATCTGGTTCAGAATATTTGAATAAGGGTAATGATGCCATTTGTTCAAATAAAGAAAATGAATCAGAATCAAACAAGAATGTACTTTTAAATTCACCATCATCAAGTCCATCAAAAAATAAACAACAACCACCACAACATTCCACACCAAATAATAATAATAATAATAATAATAGCAGTAATAGTAGTGGTTTATCACCAGTTTTAAATAAATTAGTATTATCACCACCATCCAATAAAAATTCACCAACTGCTGGTAGATCTAGAAAATCAATTCTTAATGAAAGAATGATGCAAATTCGTAGAGAAGTTATTGAAAATGCAGAATTTATTCTCGCTAAATTGGGTGAATATCAAAAAACCGTCTTATCACTCCCAGATATGTATAATGTTACAAATTGTGATGTCATCAACTCTGAATATGCATATCTTATCACAAATACTAAAGTTATAACAAAAATCCTTTCACCACTCGATTCAAGCTCAAGCTCAGAAACTGGTACAGAAATTATTGCAAATAAAAATAAATTAAATCAATCAAATAACATCATCTCTACACCTTTATCACCCAAATCAAACCCACTATCACCAACTAAAGATTTAAATGGATTTGATATTGGAGGTGGCATAACCAATAACAATATCAATAATCACCCAAATAGTTCACCAGTTTTACTTTCATCATCATCATCATCTATTTCTTCAGTTTCTACATTATCTTCAACCACTTCACCAACTTTTGGGGCCAGCTCTGCTTACTCAAATTTCAAACAACAACAACAAAATGTCGGTAAAAACAATCAAGTTTTCAATTCATTGACTGATATGGATATTGTGGCTCAATCAATTTCAATTATTGCAAAAAAACTTTTAGGTATTGAAATTGAAATCAAAAAAACCAAAATCACCGAAAAAAGAGCTTCCATTTTAGCTTCGTTCATTAGGGTTATCAAACAATTTTTAGAAACTGGCATTGTACCTGAAATGCCTCAAATTCCATCGGAATTGGTTAACTCTTTAATTATAAATCCAAGTTCTGAAAGTGTCACTCAAATTTATAATCCAGAAGAAAGTGATTATATTTATAAATCTGGTTATTTAATAAAAAAAGGTTCTAAAGGCCCATTGGTAGTTTGGAAGGATCAATGGATTGTTTTATCATCAGAAAAATTATCAATTTATTCAAACCAAAACGTAAGTTATAAATATGGATCATATTTTAAAAAAAAAAAATTATTAATATTTATTTATGGCTATTTATTAGAAAACTAAAAAATGTAAAAAAGAAATCTCATTAAATTCAATTGTTTCAATTTCACCAATTACCAAATATGAATATAAATGTTGTTTTATAGTAAAGGTCGCAGGAGGTGAAAAATATGTATTTAGAGGGGCAAATGACAAAGAGACAGCACTTTGGATGCTGGCAATAGATGGCTTGCCAAGAAGAAATTTCGATACCAACCAATCATCTATTAATCTTTATATTAAAGAAACCTTGTTAGAGACCATTGGTTCAAATATTTGTAATTATAGAAGATCAGTAGCAGGAGGTGTTGTTAGAAGCAGTCATGGTGAAGAGTGGACTTATCGTGCAGATGGTACATTGTTCAATACAGATTTCTTGGATACCTCAATTCGTCCAAAAGATATCAAATACATTTGGAATGGTCAGTTCCTTTTACCAGCCAATGATAGTGTACATAATTTAGGCAATGGCAAATGGAATGGTGTTTGGTTGGCCTGGTATAATCCAAATACAAGTGAACCTTTCTTAAAATACATTTGGGATCAACAAAATAATGAATATTTAAATCAAAATACCAAATTATCATATAAATGGTCTTCCCGTGGTTTGGTTTCAAAAATAGGCAATGGAGAATGGTTGGTTGAAGGTCGTGTACCAGAAACCATAGTAATGTTTTTACAATGTTTAAGATATATCCGTCATAAAGAATTAAATGGCTATTAAAAAAAAAAAAAAAAAAAAAAAAAAATTTGTAGTATGTATTAAAAAAAAAACCAATTAATTTTAGTTTTCAAATCAAATATCAAAAATAATAGAAATATTATTAAATTACAATCAAAAAAAATAAAATAAAATATATTATTTATTTTCCAAAATTTTTTATTTATTTTTTTTTTTTTTTGATTTTTAATTTTTTTTTAAAAATTATTTTTTTCATTTTTTAATAATTTTAATAATTTTTTTTTTCTATTTTTTATTTTTGTTGTTTTATTTAAATTAAATAATTTAAAAAGATAAAATAGAGTGAAAAGAAAAAAAGAAACCATAGAATAAAGATTTATAATAGTAATAAAAAAAAGAATAAACAGTATAAAATATTATATATTATAACTATTTTTATATAGTTTTAAACTTTTAAAAAAACAATAAACCTTTTTTTTTTTTTAATTATCTTAATAAATACAAAAACTAAAATCAAATCAAAAAACAAAATCGAAAATCAAAAACCAAAAATCAAAAGCAAAATTATTATATAGAATATATGGCTCATAAAAATATAGTTAATAGCCATAGTAACAATAGTAGTATAAACCAACCAGAAAATGAATCTTTATATGATGTAATATTAGGGAAAACGATGAATGATGATGCCAACGAGCATTATCATACTATACAATGTAAGTGTTTATAATATTTTTAAAATTATTTTTCGGTTTATAAGCTAATTTAATTTTTATACAGATAATATTAAACCCAAGAGTTTGGATACAAAAAAAGCAGTAATTAAAATGAACCAGGGGACACTACAGGTTCAACATAATCATATCAATGTAAATAATAATGAAAAGTTTGATTATTCTGGTTCATATAAACCTTGCAAAGAAATTGAATGTTTTTTAATATTTGAAAATGGTTCATTTAGACTTGAAAGGCAAGTTAGTTCAACATTAATAAAAAGAGAATTCAATAATAATAATAATAATAATAATAGTAACAATAATAGTAACATTAGTAATAGTAATAAAAGTAAGTTTAAAATAAAATTCATTCATAGTATTGTATAAAAAAAAACTAATTATAGTTTATTTTTAGCGTCCACACCAGATATTGAAATACCTATTTATATTGATAAACAAACAAAACCACCACCACCTCAGCAACAACAACAGCAGCAGCAGCAACAACAACAGCAACAACAATCTACACCAAATTCAAACAATATTTTTGATTCATCAATGGATAGTGATGCTGAAAGTAATAGTAGTACCCAGAACAATAGTGGAACTCAGCAAACTGATGACGATGGATTTGGTGAGTTTAGTGATTTAATTGACACAGCCATTAATACGGATAATGAGAAATTTTCACCACCTCCACCTGTTCCTAATACTTCATCAAATAAAAAGGGAGCAACTAAAAAAGCAGGTAGACCAAGAAAAAATACAACCACTAATTCATCGGCAACTACATTAAATACACCAAACACATCGACAACTTCAACAACAAATACATCATCTACAGTAGATAATAAACCACTTAGCCCCAGTCCATTACCATCTATACCAATAACAAAGAAGAGTAAAGCAGCAGCTGCAGCTGCAGCTGCCCATGCAGCCCAAACAGCAGCAATTAACTCAGCACTTAGTCATATACCCATAATATCAAATAAAAATAAACCTCCAATGTCATCATTACCACCAAGATCAAGTTTACCACAAAGATCAAATTTACCCTCAAATAGCAATACAAGTTTACCAATTAATAATACACCATCTACTAAAACCAATAATATAATATCTACAACTACTACCAATAATAACAACTTGAATAATAATAATAATAAAAATAAAAATAGTTTGAATGAATCAAAAGAAGATTTTGAAGATTTAGCAAAAGATATAGAAATGTTTAACCCAACTAGTAATGGTTTGGCTGAGGAAGATTCGATGGACTTTGAAGAGGTATTGTTCGGTAAAAACTCTGCTCCAATAACAAATGCACCAATACTTTCATCAAACCCATTAGAAGAAGAGGATGAAGGTGATATTGTATTTGAAGAGTACCCAGTTAATGTTAATAATACAGATAATAATAATAATGATGACGATAATCTTTTCTCATTGAACGATTCATCCAATGTAATACCTCCCTTCAAATCGTCCTCTTCAAATCTAAATACAAGCACAGATTTTAGTTTGGGTGATAGCAATGGTGGATTTTTACCAGTTAAATCAACCGCATCAACAACAACCAAACCCGCAATTTCTACACCAACCAGCTCCACTTTAAAACCTTCATCATCGAAATCGGTATCAATCACAGCAGCTACAACAAATCAGCAAACAAGTACAACAGCAACAGCAACAACAACTGTTCAACCACCATCATTTGGAAAATCTTCATTTAATTTACCAACAAATAGTAAAAATAGTGCAGCTTTTAATCCCCCACAAAAACCACCACAACCAACAAAACAACCAACAACCCAATCATCATCAAACACGGCAACAGCAAATCTTAATGAATCATTTCAGTCTAGTGACTCTAGTGATAGTAGTTATAGTGATAGTGAAAGTGACAGCTATAGTGACAGTGAGAGCGATAGCTCCCATAGTGGTTGAAAACAATAAATTATTTATATATTCAATAATAAACAATTGTAACTTATAAATTAAATATATAATAAAATAAATAAAAAAAAAAGAATATTAAAATATATTTAATATAATTTTTTAAAATAAAATACAAAACTTTGGTATTTTTAATGGTGTTGTATTTCTGAAACACATAACCATTGTAAATATTTATTAAAACCATTATTATAATTTAAGTCTTAAACATAAACTAAAAAGGTATTAAAAACAACAATAACCAACAGTTATATAAAAAGATTAAAAGATAATACATGTATCTTGTTTATAATATTTTTATTTTTTTATTTTCCGAAGCATTAAAAATTAGATTTTTTAATGTTTTATTTTTTTTAAGAAATATTTGATATATATTTTCGGTACCCATGGTATTGGCAAAGTCATCATTAATAACGTTTAAGGTTTGTATATTCGGGTTTTCTAAACAATGACTGAGGAATTGTTCTGCAGATGAAGAGTTGCAATATAAGGTTGTTATATTTGGTAGTTTTAACAATGGAGATAAGAGTTGGTGGCTATTTGGTTGGGTTAGAGTGAACCATTCTAAACCTAATTTATTAAGTGCAATATTACCTAAAAGATCATTTAATAGTTCGCTTGGATTAGAATTGGTCGAATAATGAGGATAAATTGAATGTTTGAATTTTAATTTCTTCAAAGTTTTATTGTTTTTTAAATCTGATTTTATTATAAGTGATTTTTTGTGTAGTTCTATTGGTGAGTTTACATCCAATTCGTCATCAATAATTGAGTTATAAAGTGAACTAAATCTAACTGATAAAGACTTGATGGTTGGTGTTTGGATGGCTTGAATGAAAAAACTGGGTGGAGTATCGTGATATTGAAAATCTACACTTTCTAAACGGGCACTTGCTTTTATTAAAATATTGTTTAGGTATGCAATATTCAAAAAGTCTGTACTGATATCTGCGGTTGTAATTTTTAATTTCTTTGGTTTATAGGGTTTTAAAAAGTCAAAAGAAAACTTAATGTATGAAAGACCAGTGACTGAAGCTTCTTGATAATCCACTTCATTTTCATATGATTCTGGTATACTTTGATGATAGTCCCAATACAAGTATAGTTTGTCAAATTGAAAAAAAGAGACATCATAATCATCTAAATTTCTATAAGAGGTAATTTGATTGTAGTCATCTATTACTGTAACTTTTTTTAGTTTATCGCACCCACATAATCCTATTAGCATTGGCTTCAATTCATCAAAATCGGTTGTTATCTTGGTAATGAATAGATTTTCGACATCCTTATATTGAATTAATCTATATTTATAGTTATTTATATTTGATGTTTCTTTTTTATTAAATGAACCAAATTGATTTTTGGTTATGTATTTTAAAATGCTTTTAGAGTCTGTATAATAATTTATTGAATCTTGTTTATATGTTAAGTAGTATTGAATTGATGTAAATGCTGATTTTGAAATTAAACTTAATTCAATTAGCCTAGTGAATGATTGGTTTATAATTATTAATGGTAAAATTTCATTAAAAATTAATGGGTTTAGTTTAATCTTATCATCACCATTATTGTTTGTTTTACTACTTTTATTATTAAATATATATTTTAGAAAAAACAAAATAAAAGAAATAATTTTATATAGCATTGTAAAAAAAATTTTTAAAAAAAAAAATAAAAAAATATTTTTTTTAAAAAAAAAAAAAAAAAGATATTTTAAATATCCTTAAATTTTTAGGTTTTTTTGTGTAAATTAATTAATTTGTTTTTTTTTTAAAAAAAATAAAAATTGGTGTGCTAGTTTATTGTTTTTTTGATTTTTTTGTAAATGTTTAATATTTATATGAATTTACCGCATTCAAGGGTACAATACAATAACATTAATTTGGTTATTTTATTTAACATTTGTAAAGTAGATGGATCTACTTTAGTTATAGATAAATAATAAATATAAATAATCTTAATAATCAAATAAATATACAATTATTTGTTTGTTAAGACTAAAATCGAAAACAATTTTACAACTAAAATACTTCCATCTGCGTTACTTTTTTTTTTTAAAAAGTGAAGCAAAAGCTTTAAATTAATCAGTAAATCTTTGATTTTTTAAACCTTTTAAGTATTCCAGAGTGGCTGGATCAGTCTTTTTTGATTGGATAAGTGTGATATAGCCGCATAGCATAGTGGTATTGGGCTTCCCTAATTTTTTTTTTTTTTTTTTTTTTTTTTTTTTTTAAAGTTCATTTATATTACATTTTTTTTAAATGGCAATTTAAATCACCGAGAAGATATTATCTTCTGGAAGATTCAGAATCTTAAAAGGCCCCAGCGGGGATCGAACCCACGACCTCTTCCTTACTAGGGAAGCGCAATACCACTATGCTATGCGGCCAATTGTACACAAAATTTACATACTACTGGTGTATCAACACTTTTTTATTATAGTTATTATTACCATGTCTTTAACTATAATTAATTACCACTAATCACAACATCATTCATTTTTTTAATGGTATTTACCACTTTTTATACAATTCATTTTATTTTTACACACTTTTGTTGATTTTTATATAATCTACATATATCACCACATACACTTTCATTAACTGTTTTAAAAAAATCCAAAATTTTCTTTGATTTTTTAAAACTTTTTTAAGTAGACGAAATCTAATTGAGATCTCACTAGTTGAGCGGTGTATCTCTTTTATTTATTCATTCACAAACAAAATTTAAAAAAATAATAATCAAAATAATGGTGATGATAACTTGGATACTAATAATTGCATTATTCCACTACAAAATAATCAACATTCTGCTCAAAATCCATTTTATTCACTAAATACTCTTTAAAATACTTATCCAGAATACCTAAAATGTATTCCAAAATTTAATAAGTCTGGTCACCTAAATAACACTTTTAACATATTAAAAAACCAGAACTATTAAAATAAAAATTACCATCCAAAATCATCATATAAATTAAACACAAATTTTCAAAAAATTTTTTTAAAAAATATTATTAATAATAATGAATAAATTCTTTTTTTTGAAACAAAAACTACACCACATCACAACATAACCAGTATAATCTAAAACTACACTGGTGCATCTAAGGTAAACAGAACCAAAGATAATACTACCACAACATTTACAAATGATTTGACAAGAAATACTTTCCTAAAAAATCATCCATACAAAACATTATTAAAATCAATATCGAAAAAGGAATATTAGAACCAAAATTCACAATTCCAGAACCATTTGGCTTACAACCAAATAGTATACCACTTTATGTTGATTTTAATGCAATGTTACTAACATTTTTACCATTATACTAGATGATGAAATTATACCTTAAATTCATCAGACCCTACCACTATTATCTACCAAAAATTAAACCTACCACTTTATTTACCACCAATAAATGATTCTTTCGAAAACGAATGTTCACATTTATTTATTACCACTTTATTTTTCTTTTTTTTTTATTTTTCATTTTTCTTTTTTCTTTTTTTTTTTTTTTTTAAAACAATATATCATTTTATTCTAAATAAAAGATATATATGGCATCTGTACATATCCATAGTCAACCGAAAGGATTAACAAGACTCTACGCCAATGCACTAAAGTTATACCGAGCTGTATACGTGCTATTTAACTGGATAGAAGGTTTCCTTTGCAAGGAAACACTAGCCCAAGGTTCTCCGTACAAGATGAAACTTATGCTATGCTAAACTGCCAAGGGCTGTAATGTTTAATTCATATTCTATTAGCTAAGATGCGGGCATCTTTTATGAAGTAACACCACCTTAAAAGAAAGTTGGATCTCCGGAAATTTATTATTCTTGCAATAATAAATTAAGTTACCTCAGAATAATTCAATTTATTCAACCAAAATTGCAACGGTTTAATTTTGCTTCAAGTAATATCTGGTCAATTCAGATACTTAGGTCTTATAATTAATAAAATAATAAAATGGAATAAACATTCCAATATATTTTTAAAAAGCAAAAAAAGCTATGCGGCCAATTTGTAATATAATAAAAAAACATGATTTTTACGGAATTTTTTGCTTAACCACAAAGAATCTACTAATCTCATGAATTATTCATCTAATACACAATGTAATAACTAACAAAAGATAGAATTTTAAAAAAAAACAAGTTGATTTAAAGAAAAATAAATATATTTTTTCATACTACCCTTATACTTCATATATTTTCATATATTAAAGATTACGATTATTCTAATGATAATATATTAATATTTAAAAATGATTATTATGTTTCACAAAGTGAAAGATTTAACTAAAGAGATAAAGATATTTCTGAAGTTAATAAAAACATTAATAAAATTATAAAATATTTAAAAAATAAATATAAGATTGAAACAACAATACTTAATAATGCACATAAATAAATAAACAATTAAATTTTTTTATGCCATTTTAGCAAATCTTTTAAAGATTCCATTTATTTTTTTTATTTAAAATTTTTTTTTTTTAAAATTTTTTTCATTTTATATATATTGTTTATTAATTATTTATTTATACTTTATAAGTTCATTTACATTACATATAAAATAATATTTCCCTTTGAAAAAAATTCAATGATGAAATTAAAGAAATCAATAAAATTTCAGATTGGTTCCTATCAGCACCTAACAATAACAGTCCAAATGGTTTTAAAGTCTTCAAATTAATGAGCTATAAAAGAGCAAATTACCCTATTTTTTTTTTTTTTTTTTTTTTTTTTAAAAGTGAAAATAATTAAAAGCAAATGCTTTAAATTAATCAATAAAATTTTATTTAATGTTTTTTTTAAAGTTTTTAAAGAAAATATTCTAAACTGTTGATATTTGGTAATGATTTGATGCTGATGAAGTTTGCTATTCTTCTTTTGAATTTTCTATATTCTTCATTGATGTTGCTAATTGTTTGTGTTTGTTTAGCGTGTCTTTCCTTGATGTTTTTTAAACCTTTTAAGTATTCTAAGCTTAGTCCATTTTGAGGTTAGATTCTTATAATCGAGTTCTTTTATTGTATTTTCTTGATCGTCGTATAGTTCTTTACATAACCAAATCCAAACTTGATGAAATACCAGGGCTATGGCATTTATATAAGCGAAGCATCTAGTTAAGTCGAAATCTATTGCTTTATAGTTCCATTGGAAGTGTGATTTGTAAAATCTGGTGTTGTTGTAATCCATATTTATTTCTCCATCGGATTTGCGACCTTCTGGGATTTTATATGTAATATTTTTTATTGATATATTCCTTCTTGATCTAGTTAAGTCCAGTGACCAATTGAGGCCCCTTCCCGAAGTAATGAATATAAATGATTTCAGTTTATTAAAGTTGATGAATTTCAATGTTTTGGGTAAATGCTTTAAATTAATCAGTGGATCATTATTAAGAATGAAGTTGATGGGTAAGCAAAATTTTTGTAAAGACTGTTGGTGGGTGATTAACTTTTTCACACAAATTATAAATCACGTAAAATTAGAGGTTAATTATCTTTTACGTGATAATCACGAGGAAGATAGGGTAATTAAATAAATTTGCGCATGCTGGGAATCGAACCCAGTTCGCATCCGTGGCAGGGATGCATCATACCACTAGACCACATGCGCAGTTTGATGTGAGTTTGAAAAAAAACTACCCACGCGTGCAGGAAACGTTTTTGGTTAACAATTTATACAAAAATTTTTTCAATTTTAAATAAATAAAAAAAATATTTTGTATCTTATTAATATCTATCAATTATAATAGAAATATAGACCATTTCATTAATAACAATAATAATATAATAAAAATCAAATGGTTATACCAAATTTTTTGACATTTGCTCAGTTGGTATTATAATAAAAATGAGGTTTAACAAAAAATTTTTTTTAAAAATCTTTCAAATAATTTTTTTTATTATGATTCAATTTATCAAAACCACGTGGCTATGGAATAAATTTAATCGTGATCTTTATTTTAAAGAACTTTTTTTTAAATTGAATAATTATTTCTTTATAAAAAAATTTTTTTTTTATTTTGTTTTGAATTTTTTTATTTTTAAAAAACTATAACAATATTTAAAATATATAAAATATATAAAATATATAAAATAAAATGAAAATAATTTTTATTTTTTTTATTATATTTTTTTCCTTTTTAGTTCAATCCAAATCAAACAATATTTTGAAAGATTATGTTTATTCAAAAGATCCAAATTATAAATGGACTTTAAATACAACCTATGATGTCGGTTTTGCAAATATCCAAGTAATAGAGTTAGGTGGGTAAAAAAAAAAAAAAAAAGAATACTTAAATTAAAAATTAAAAATTAATTTATTTATTTGTTTTTTAGTATCGCAACAATGGATGAAAGATTATACAAATTCGTCAATATGGAAGCATTGGGTTAGTGTTTGTATACCAAAAGCACCAACACAAACTAAAATGGGTCTTTTATATGTCACAGGAGGCGCGTATAATAGTAAAGAGTGGGTAGTACCATCCCAAGAGAGTTTGGAAGCAGACTTTGGTCAACAAGTTTGTAAAGAAAGTAATGCAATTACAGTTACAGTCAATCAGGTACCAAACCAATATATTACTTTTGATGATGGTGTTGCAAGAGATGAGGATTATATTGTTGCATATTCTTGGCGTAAATATATTGATACCCAAGTTTCAACATGGGTTAGTTTATTACCACAAACCAAATCAGTCATTAAGGCGATGGATGCTGTTCAAGAGTATGGCAATGAAAACGGTGTTATCATTGAAAGCTTTGTTGTTTTTGGTGCAAGTAAAAGAGGTTGGACTACATATGGTGTTGCTATGGTCGGTGATGAACGTGTTGCAGCAATTGTTCCAATGGTTATTGGTGTGCTAAATTTAGTTGATGACATTAAAGTTCAAATGCAAACATATGGTAATTGGAGTTTTGCTCTTGATCCATATGCTATAAATGGTATTCCATCATTTGTTGATACTGAATATTTCAATGTTGTAACTGATATAGTCGATCCATTAAATTATATTGATATAATGGAAAAAATACCAAAATATGTAAGTTATAATTTATAATTTATTTATTTACTATATATTATTATTATTATTATTAATTATATTTATATTTTATTGTTTAGATTATTTTGACAATTGAAGGTAATTAATATTAATTAGCTTTATTATTTGTTGTTGATATTAATTTCTTTTTTAATTATTATTATTGTATTTAGATGAATTCTTTTTACCTGATTCGACTAAATTCTTTTATGATCAAATTAAAGGTGAAAAGAGATTGGGATTGTTCCAGACTGATCATAGTGTCACCCAGTTTGCAGGTGTTTCGACTGAAATTTCAAAATACTTTAATATAATTGTCAATAAAGTTGAGAGTCCAGAGCTTTCGTGGAAGATTACCTATTCAAAAGATAATAGTCTCGGCACTATAGAGATGACTGTTGTTAAAGGCACACCAACAAGAGTTGTAGTTTATTCAGTAAATACCATTTCAAAGACTCACAGAGACTTTAGAAAGTTTACATGCTCAGACTATGCAAATTGTTACCAAGCCTTCACTTATAGTGCACAAAATATTACATTAGAATCTGATAACACTTATTCGGTAAGCATTAAGGGTCCAGATGGGGGTGGCTGGACTGCATTTTATTTCGAAGTCGAGTTTGGTGATGTTGCAAATGTTAATACTGAACTAGCTATTGTACCCAATACATTCCCTTTCCCAGAATGTTCATCTGAAATTTGTGCATCTGGTGTTCCAGAATGGGTTATTAATTCTGCTAATAGTGTAACCAAAACTAATTTATTGGTTTTATCATTGACTATTTTAATTTATTTTATTCTAATTTAATAAATTATTGTGGTGGTGTTTTAAAATTTAATAATCAAAAAAATAAAAATAAAAAAAAAAACCCCTTTTATTTTTTTTTTATAATTTTAATTTTTTTTTTTTTTTTTTTTTTTTTTTTTTAATTTTTATTTTTTTTTCTTTTTCTTTTTTTTTTTTTTTTTTTTTTTTTTAATAATAATGAAAATAATAATAATAATATAGCTTTTGTAGTAATAATATAAAATATAGATTCAATAATAAAGTATAGAAACATTAAAAAAATAATAGAAAAAATATCAACCAAAAAAATTAAATAAATATCTCAAATAGGATGCAGGAGGAACTACGACAATTTGGTGCCTATTATAGGAATGTTTTTGATACAATTAAAGAATTCGATTTTGAAATCAATTTTGCATATGAGTCACATTGCAGCACAGTTAGATTTCCGCCAAGCATTGAGATATACTTTTTAAATTGTTTTATATGTTTATCATCTATTTTAAAAGAAAGTTACCCAACTTTAGATGACTTTTTAAGACATTTTCAAGATTGGTAAGTGCTTATAAATACATTATTTTAAAGGAATTAAATAATAATTTTTTTCTATTTATAAATAGTCAAAACCTAACTAAAAAGATACCAGAATTTATAAAAATATTAAATAATGAAATACCACCGTTTCAACTAAACACACTTTTAGAGTCAACATTTGGTAGTAAAGAGATTGGTTTTATAAAATTTCTCAGTATTTTTGGACAGTATATCAAGGATACAACATTACAAGTATTTTCATCATCATTTTGCACATCATTTACAAAAGAAGATGATTATTCATTAGCAATTTTAAAACTATTATTAAAATATAAAAAAAACATATATAGTAATAATAATAATAATAGTAATAATAATAATAATAATAATAATAATAATAATAAGGGCGGTAATCTGCATATTGCAAATTTAAATTATTTGGAGATAGAATATAGACAAAATAAAGGTGTTATAAATTTATTTAGGTCAATGTACTACGATAACTTAGAAGAATTTAAACTATTATTTAATGATAGCCAATGGCTTACAAATACAGATTTATCACAGTCGACAACATCAACATCAACACCAACAATAACAAATGAAAATTTCATCAAATCAGAAATTTTTTGGTTTTTTGTATGTTTATATAATTCTGGTAAAATTTCAAAATATTTATTAGAAGAGTACTCAAAGGAAAAAGAGAAAAATAATCAAATTAATTTAATATCAATAGAGCCTAGTTATTTAATAGAGATTTGCACAGTTTCACTTAGTTATAAAGTTATAAAATCAATTTTTAAAATTTATCCACCTAATACAATTCTTTCAGAAAAAAATCAATTAAATAAAATAACAACAAATAACACTGATAATAATAATAAAAATAAAAATAACAATAATAATAAATTTTTAGTTTTGGAATCAAATATTATTTTTAATGAATATACATATCCAAGAATGAATAAGTTTTTAAATATATTATCAGACAATAAGATATCAATCAATCCAATATTCTTTCAAAAATTTCCAACCTATAGTAATCAATCATTATTTAAATCATTATTTTATCAAAATATAAATCACGAAGAATTCGAAGAACAGGAAGAAAAAGAAAGCAGTTATCCAGAAATATTAAAAAACCGAATTAATCATGAAATTGGGCAAATTAAATCAAGTAATTTTATTACCATTGAAAGGAATCAGTTAAATTTTTATGATTTAACACAAAGTTTTAGTCTAAAATATAAACAATACACTTTCTATTTGACTTTTGGTACCTATTTCAAATGTTCATGCGAAGAGAATAGAATGTTTCAAGGTTTCTGCCTGCATATGCATCTGGTATTAAGATATTATTTCGAAATCCCCAAAGGTTGTCAATTTTATTTCAGAAAAAAGTTTACTCCAATGGAAAGATTTTTAATATTTTTTAATAATAGTTTTAATAAAAAGCTAACCAACTCTAAACAAAAAATAGAAGGTTCACCAATATTTCCTAGTTTTTTTGAAAGTGATTATTACCCTAACTCTTCAAAAAATAGTACAATCGATGCTATACTGGACACAGACTCTAACGAAACTCAGCAGCTCATACTCAACATGAAGAGATTATACTATTATACTTTCAAGCTATCAAATAAACTAGAGTGTACCTCAATATCAAGAGATTTTAAAATATATATGAGTGCTCAAGAGTTGTTTCAAAGTGAACACCTTAATAAATCAAGCACAAATGCATTATTAACCAATATAACATTGCATGGAACACTTTCAAAAGATTTTCTAAGCGAGAGCGATATAGCTCGTTTAATTCTTCAAGACCAGACCGAAAAGTTAATACCTCTATTCATTCAATGGAAAGATATGCCAACGAGATATAAGAATATTCCTTTTGTCTTTTTATCTCATTCAAAATTTTTAAATTTTGCTCTAACAAGTTATCCAGACGCTTTTAAAGAAACTATAGACATTCGTGATTTCATAGATTTAGCTAATGACAAGTTTATAGAGCTTCTAATGTATAACGAAAAATATCAAGTTATTCAAACTGCAAAAAGATGGTCTCAAGATTTACGTTCAAAAAAAACAAATATCATCAAATTTTTAATTGTGTGTGGCCACCCAAATACACTAACAATTTATGACCATTTTATTTCACATAAAAATGGTTCGGTATCCTTAAATCCAGATTATTTAGTTAACTCATTTGATATCTTTATAAATGGCGATAAAATTAAAAAATTTGAATTGGATTTATTGGAAGAAGAAAATAAAAAGAAAAAAGTAAAAAATAATAAAAAAATTAATAGTAATGTTAATAATAATAATAATAATAACAATAATAACAATAGCAATATAGTTAATATAAATAAACAACAAATAAATAATAAATCCAACTCATCAAAAGAAGTTGTAGAAGAAAAGGTAGAAGAAAAAGAAAGTGAAAAAATAGATAAAGAAATAAATTTAAATAGTTTAGAAATTAATAATAGCTCATCTGTAAATAAAAGCAATAGTAATAATAATAAAAAGAAAGAAATTTTATATGACACTCAAGTTGGTAAATTTAAATTTAGTAGAAACGAAAGTAATATTTTAGGAATGGGTAGTAATGGTACACTGGTATTTAGGGGCATATGGAATAATAGAATACCTGTGGCAATTAAACAAGTACATAAAGTTTTTAATCCAAATATTACAAAAGAAATAGAAACATTAATTAAATTAACAGATAAGAATTGTAGTAATGTGGTTAGATATATCGATCAAGTAAGTTTCATATACTATACTTTAAAAAGTTTAATTTTTTTTTACAATTATACTAAAGTTTTGTTTTTTTTTAATTAGGAGGAAGATTCACAATTTGTTTATTTAGGATTAACACTATGTGACAAGTCATTACAAGATTTAATTTCATCTGGTGAATTAGAGAATTTTAAAGGTTCAACCGAAAGAACTATGGAATTAATTTTAGATATTGTTCATGGTATTCAATTTTTACACTCAAATGATATTGTCCATAATGATTTAAATCCAAGAAATATTTTATCAAAGGATGGTAGATTCATAATATCTGATTTAGGATTAAGTAAATTAGAGGTAACTTCTTCTTATAGCTTTACATCGAATGTCCCAACAGGTCAAGAAGGATTCCACCCAGTTGAAGTATTGATGGAAAAGAGAAAGACAAAATCGGTCGATATATTTTCATTAGGTTGTATTCTATACTATTTTATTACGAGTGGTCAGCATCCATTCGGCGAAAAGTTATTTAGAGTCGTGAACATCGTTTCAAATAAATTCGATTTAGATCCTATCAAATTTACCCAGCCAACACTATACGATTTAATTAAACAAATGATATCAAAAGACGAAACTTTAAGACCAACCATCGATCAAGTTTTACAGCACCCATTCTTTTGGACTCCAGTAAAGAAACTTCAATTCATTGATAAACTAAATAGTTTGTTTAAAGATAATGAGCTATTTAACTCAAATCTAAATAAATTATTAAACTATGTCGATATTGAAGGTAGTGTCGACATCATCAATGGTAGTAATAGCAGCACCTATAATAGTACAACCAGCAATACAGCAACACCATATTTAAGTAGACCATGGAATCAAATAATAGATAAAGCATATATTGAACACATCTCAAACAAACAAAATCAAATTTTACAGCAAAGTGGTAAAAAAACATACATTTACAACTATGATCAAGTTAAAGATTTAATTAGGTGCATTAGAAACACAATCCAACATCATAAAGAAATTCAAAAAATAATTCAAAACTATAATTATAATAATAATAATAGTAATAATAATAATAACAATGATAACAAAGAAATTATTGAATCGTTATCAAGCCATGAAAATGTATTAAAATATTTCGAATCCAAACTACCTGATCTGTTATTTTTTATTTATTATAAATTTAAAAACCATAAAGATTTTAAAAAATTAAAAAATTATTTAAATGGTTTTTTATCATAATATTATTAATAATAATAACAACAAAATAGCAATAATAACAGATAATTATTATTAGTCCTTTCCCCTTTTGTAAATAAATTTTTTTTTTTTTTTTTTTTTAATAAAATTTTATTAATAAATACTTATTATTTCAATGAAAGTTTTTTTTTTTTTCTTACACGTATTAAATTATACATAATAGGTTTTTTTTTTATAATAAATAAACAAGTCAAAAACTATTTAGTTTTTTTTTGGTAATAGATTTTTTTTTTATATAAATAAATTGATAAGCTTTCGGACCTAATGAATAATTTATTTTGTTTAAATAATTATTTTTTAAGTAGAAAAAAATTATTTAAAGAGAAAAAGTAAATTATTTTTATTATTTTTAAAAATTAACAATGCACTCAATAAAAAAATTATTTTTATATTTTGTATTTATCTCCAATTTAATTTTTATAAATTGTGAAGACTATAAATGCCCAAGAAACTCTGTAAATTCCGTTCCTTTCCCCTTAGAAGTAATAATGAATGTAGATGAAGTATCAAATTTGCAACATCAACCTTTTACAATATCTTTAACTGGAAATGTTTGTAATTCGACTTTAACCAATACCCAAGTTTATACATTTGGTTATGGAAATGGCCCTGAATGCAATTTAGGCTCCCTATATTACTCTCTTCAACTCTCTGGTAATCTTGAAATGAATGATAAGGATGGAAATACTATTTACAATCAAAGAGAAAACTATGTAACAATTTCAAAAAATCCATCAAATAACTATTATATAATGAAAATATTCAGCAATTCAGACAATTAATGATTGAATTATTATAATATTTTTATTTAAAATTTATTAAATAAAATATTTCTTTTTCAGGGTTCTACTTATTTATTTAATAAAATATTTATTTTTTTTCCGAGTAGCACCTATTTTTTTAATTTTTGCTTTTTTTTCCCACCTTTTTTAATTTTTTTATATTTTTTTTTTGCAAAAAAAATATAAAAAAACTTTTTTTTCACAAAAAAATTTTTTTTTTTTAAATAAAACAGATAAAAAAAAAAAGCTATGAATTTGCCCAATTATTTGTATAAAAAGATATTAGAAATAATTTTTAATTATATTTGCAAAAATTTTCCAATAAAATATTATGGTCGATATGATATAAAAAATAATAATGAATTTATTAGATATTCTTTGGTAAATAAATCATGGTTTAAATGTGTATCAAAAATATTGGAAAGAAAAATTAGAAATAAAAACTTTGGTGTTTTTAAAAGTTTTATTGAATCTCCTACAACTCCAAGTGATTACAAATTAATAAAATACCAAAACTCAACAATAGTATTAAAAAACTTGACAATTAATGGTTACAATGGATGGGTGAAATCCATTGAAAAATGTTCCGAACAGGTTAATAAAATTTTAATAAATTTAAATATCAGTTCTTCAAACCCAGTAAATGGTCTAGATTTAATTCAAAATAATTTTATTTTCAATTTATCTTTTTCAAATACTACAGCAACAAATGTATTTTCTTTAGTTCAATATTTCAGTAAGGAAAATAGTTTAAATAAAATCAAAAAAATCAAATTAAATCACCATATAGATGTTTTGTTTTCAATTTTGGCCTTTAATGTTAGCAATATTAAGTTTTATGATGCCAGTAATGGTGTTGATATAGAAGAAAGAGTTAATAATATTAAATTGAAATTCAAATCAAATGATGGTAGTTTAAAAGTTCAAGATTTATTATGCTTTCCCAAAAATGAAGCTACAGCATACAATATTCCAAACCATGGGTTAAAAAAGTTTAGTGTTAATACAAACATTAAAATGATTTTAGATAACATGGATCAAAGTTTCCTTAAGAGTTATGAAGATAGGGAAGATCAACTTAAAAAAAACTTAAGTAGTTGGGATACTTTTATCGATAAGCTATCAAAGAATAAAGAATTATATTCTCTTTCAGTTGGAGTATATGGATTCTTTAGAGAACTCGAACCAAAATTAATAAACAAGGGTTTCAAATCATTACTTTCAAGTCCTTCTTGTATTAAGAGCCTATCGTTTTTTGGTGAAATAGATTCAAATATTTATGAAGGTTTGGCTTTAAATAGATCAATAAAGAATGTTTCAATTCCAATAAAGTATTTTAGTTCAATGGTAAAAGAAGTATTGGTTAATAATAAAACAATCAAAAATTTATATGTTTTACAAAACGAATCTATGGATATTTTAAATTGTTTGAAAGAACTAATAGAATATTCAGATAAAATAGAATTGTTCTCAATAACTTTCGAAATTTATACAAGTTTTAGATATATTTCAAATTGTATAGATTTATTATATTCGCACCACTTTAATATTAAAGAATTTAATTTTTTAAATCGTAAAGATAATAATATCATTGTACACCCTAATCCAAATAATTATAAATTATTCCAATTAGTTTCGAATAACTCAATAGTAAATATTTCATCAAGAGACACACCAGAAATCATAAATAAAACATCATGGGATTTTGTTAAAAATCTTTAAAATAAAATAATAAAATCGTACCCCCAATATCGAAATATTCAATTTAATTTAACACCATTATTAATTTAATTTATTTTGTTCAAAAGATATTTTTTATTAAGTTTTTTTTTTCTTTTTTTTTTTTTTTTTTGGTTTATTCTATAGTGGCCAATTATATTAGTTAAAAATTATTATTATTTAATTTTTAATAATGACGTTCGCTATCTCTTATTCCTTTGTAGAAATTTTGTGAGTGTGGTAAAATTTCATTTTTTTTTAATTAAAATTTTTTTTTAATTAAATTTTATCTTTTTCATTCTAATCAACTATTTGATGAATATCAGACATTGTTCTGGCCAATCAACAATGGTATCATTGAGTGGTTTTAGATAATGAAATGATTTAGTATTTATCCGGCAGCTTACGAAAGAACACAGAAACAACTGGACAAGTGACAAATTCAGTAAATCCGTTTTCCACCCAGATTTCATTATTTTAAGTTAGCTCTAGGATATCTGGTATAGTGAATAAAAATATGGTTAGGAGACATCAAAATTTAGTTTTTAGAGCCATTATTGTACAAGATATGGGTTTCTTCCAAACAAATAATGAATATTACATATCAGTAATTTTAAATCCAAACTATAAAATCAATTTTTTTGGACATCAATATTTAATTAATAAAAAATCTTTATATATTCAGAAATTGGAAATGCTTAGATCATAGAAATGATACAATAAAATATTGGAAAGAAAATAGTATTGAATATCCAACTTTATATTCAATTATAAGAAATGTACTTTCAGTTGCTTCTTCTTCTGTTGAAATTGAAAGAACATTTTCGGGTGCTAAGTTGTTGGTTACAGACAACAGATCAAATTTGGTTGGGAAAGAATAGAAAAATATGTGTTATTACCATTCACTTAGCATTTGAGACTTGGATTTTTGGTTATATAAAAAGGATAACATCTTTTTAGATTTTATAATCACCTTAAAAATGCCGGGAGCAATTCATGATTAATAATGTTCATCAAATTGGCCGCATAGCATAGTGGTATTGCGCTTCCCTAGTAAGGAAGAGGTCGTGGGTTCGATCCCCGCTGGGGCCTTTATTTGACTCAATATCTTCCCGGAGATTTTTTTTTAAAAAAAAAACCCAATCTCAGTTTAAGGTACTGTAATTGTAATATAGATGGAGCTAATTTCGTTATAGATAAATAATAAATATAAATAATTCTAATAATCAAATAAATATACAATTATTTGTTTGTGAAAACTAAAACCGAAAACTGAAAACTAAAAAATTATTTAAAATAAAGGAAAATATTAATATATTATTTAGTTGAGATATGATTATAACTGTAATATTCATTTAATTCTAAAATGCATATGAATACATTACATATCCCCCACTTTGACTAAAGACCCAATAAGCCTCCTCCAAACACTAACCATCTATATTATATTTTTTTTGTTTTTTTTTTTTTTTTTTTTTTATTGTTTTTGTTGAGATAATTGATCATTTGACCATGTTGAAATAACTTTATCTTCACTACTATAACTTCGTGTAAGTTCATGCACCAACCTTTTTCAATTATTCCGAAAGCAGTGCTGTATCCAATCCCTTTTTGAATAACCAATATTCCATGATTTCAATACTCTTACTTTATCGTAACCTCTGATTTCGCTTGTAATTTTTATACTTGAATTAAAGACCTTTTTATAATCAACCTGGATTACCATCTATACTAATTCTTGCTATTATCGGGATACTATTGACGCTTTAGATTACTAAGTACCAAACTTTAATCTTTAGCTTTTTTAACGCACCAATTGAAATGAAAGCTGCCGCAGCAACCTATAGAACTACCATCCTAAACCTGATTGGCATCCATTTCCATCATTCCATTGATTTGTCGCAACTGATTTATATGTCAGTTTTTGTACACTAGTCTATTTAACCTAAATGCACCTCTTATTTTTAGCCAATGCATGGCTCCTAACGCACCATTTGAAACGTAAGCTACCTCAGTAACTACCTATAGAGCTACCCTCTTTATCGTGATTGGCATACATCTCCGTCTTTTCATTTGATTTGTCGTAACTGATTTCTATTTCAGTTCTGTACACTAGTCTATTTCACCTAAATGCACTTCTTATTTTGCATAATTATAGCCAATGCGTGGCTCCTAACGCACCATTTGAAACGTAAGCTACCTCAGTAACTACCTATAGAGCTACCCTCTTTATCGTGATTGGCATACATCTCCGTCTTTTCATTTGATTTGTCGTAACTGATTTCTATTTCAGTTCTGTACACTAGTCTATTTCACCTAAATGCACTTCTTATTTTGCATAATTATAGCCAATGCGTGGCTTTTCTAACACCTGGTTAATACCTTAACTACAATTGATTGCACACAGGCAATATCCTTCAATTTAGCTTTTTATTAGCAATTAACCTCTACTCCTAACGCTCCGTGAGTTTTCTTGATTCCATCTGAACCAACCTGTTTTGACATGAGCACCCTTGATTCATCAAACTATACTTGCTTACTTTCGAACCCTCTGTAATACTTCAATATACTAGTTCCATTGCTATACCTTTATACGTTGGACACTCTAGCTCCTTTTGAATATTAACTGATTCTACCTTCATAACTGCAATATATTTGATTCCCGAATCAGCTCGAACAATTGATATTAATTAATTAATAAATTTTTTTTTTACTATCACTATAACCACCATAGCTTTACTACTCTTACCGAATTAACGCAGACCCAAAGGTTTTTGTTAAGAACAGTAAGATCGTAAAAAAAAAGTGTAATGTAGATGGAGATACTTTAGTTAACTTGATTCATCAAACTATACTTGCTTACTTTCGAACCCTCTGTAATTCTTCAATATACTAGTTCCATTGCTATACCCTTATACGTTGGACACTCTTTTAAAAGGACCTGAATCTTTCGGTAATAATTTGAATTGATCATGTGCTACTATCTTCTTAATTGTATTTAAAACGCATCTCATGACCAAAACTAAACTATTTTCTTCTATTTCTAATTCTTTTCTATTCTTATGAACTGTTTGTTTTACTTGAGCTTAAAATAAATTATCTTGTGCTATGTATTCTTTGTTGTTGGTAAATTCATAAAATCCATTGCTATATCATCCCATGGACGTATCGGAACCTTAAGTGGATTTAACATACCATACTTATTTTCTTCTATCTTTGATTTTTGACATTCCCTACATGCTGCTACATAAGAACCTATTCTTTGCCAAAACTTTGGAAATAAAAAACTGTTTCTAACTTTTAAACCTAACCTTATTCTACCTATGTGCCCTGAATATGCTGTTGAATGACATTCTTCTAATATATTTGTAATGTTTCTTATCTACTAAAACTAATCTATTTGCTGATGTTGTTGGATCCAAAAAATAAACCAAACCATTTATTTTCAATACATCATTTCTTAATAATAAAGTATCTAACCATAACTTTATTTTCTCATCTACCTTCTTATAACTTGATTTAATTTCTTTTATGAAATCATCTTCCCACTCTAAATTGAATTCTGGATTCCTACTTAACACGTCTGCTACTACATTGTCAGTTCCTTTTATATGTACTGTAAATCTCTTATCTACTAATAAATATTCGTATTTCTCCAACGCTGTTGTTAACGCTAAAAATTCTCTATCTGCTGTTGAATAATTCTTTTGGAACTTGTCAAATTTCTTTGAATCATATAAAATTGGTTTCCCATTTCCTTCGTCATCGTCCTGAGCTATCATCCATCCCATTCCAACATCACTTGCATCGATATATAACCTAAAATGTTTACTGAATTTTGAAAAAAAAAACCACACTGTTTAATTTTTTTAAAAATTTTTTACAATGAATAAAAAAGCTTGTGTGGGAAACCCCCATTTATTTTTTATAATGATTTGAAATTAATTTTGATTTTTTTAAAATTTCTTTTTTTTTTTAATTTAAAGTTTTTAATAATTTTTTTTTTTTTTTTTTTTTTCTTTATTATTTTATTTACATACAAACAATTATTTACATTTATTCAATTATTATAATAATTCTTACAATAATTAATTTTAATAACATCAATAACTTTTTTTTTTATAATTAATTTACAATAATATCTTGCAAATAACCTTTCAATAATTCATAACAATAATTTAAAATTGATAATTTTGTTTTTAATTACATTATAGAGATTTTAACTTATATAACATTAATTTCAATTGGCCTCGCCAGTTTTGCTTATGGCTATGCCTATGATGGAAAATTCGATAGACGTTGGGTCACAGTTTATGGTTTCCCATTAGAGATTGGTCCATCAGTTGTTAATGAATTTTCAAAATATGGCAAAATACTAAAAGTTGAATACCCACGCCAATCAGCAGCCAATTGGATTTTATTAAAATTTGAATCCAAAGAAATTGCATCATATCTTATAAAAAATGGAGGTACAATTTTCGAAAACTATAGGATTGGCGCTATTCCATTTAAATATTGAATGGAAAAGTAAATGGTCTTAAATAAGAAGTACTTGGTCATTTAATGTAGCAGGATTTTATTAAAGTAAGTAATTCATACATTCATATTTATACTTATTATATATTTTTTTGTTTATTAATTTATTTCATTAATAATTTAGTTGAAGAGAGAGGGTTATGGTGATGGCACAAAAATTAATGTTGAAAATAGAGGTTAGCAAGAAAATTCCGATATCAATCTCTAAAGTAATTCCGAAATCATTATCTTCGTTATTTTATTGATACTATCCCGAATATGATGATTATATGGATGTCGGTTAATCATGAAGTTGATAGTGATTAAATTAATAATTTACATTCTTTATTCATTGTTTCATTTAATGAAATAGGTAAAGAACAAACTATTAATTAAATCGTTTTATTCTATATTTCAATTAATGATATCAATTACATTTATTTTCATCCGAAAGTATCAAATAATCAACAAAGTGCATGCCAATCTTCGGGGTAGCCATAACTAAGACCCATTGCCACTTTTTCTTTTATAGCCCGCAACTTTTTAATTCACAACAGCCACATTCCTAAAAGGCCGCCACATTGTGTTTGGTGCCATGTGTTTAATGCTTATATGAGTTTTACCACACTGCATACAAGTTGGGCACGGTAATGTCAATTCGTGTGTGATTCGGAAAACTTTCTGAGACTGGGTTTCGAACCCGGAGCGGTAACTCGTTCGACCACTTAGCTATCATTGCTCCCACAACAACTACAATACAATCAAAAGTGTAAGGTATGTGAACACCTGGAAGATAAGATCCAATCTAAAAGGCCCCAGCGGGGATCGAACCCACGACCTCTTCCTTACTAGGGAAGCGCAATACCACTATGCTATGCGGCCAACTTGATGAAAATCAATATTTCTAACATAAATGCGATTTTTTAATAAATATTTTAAAATTTATGAACAAAAATGGCACAGAAGGACAAGAAAACTATGAACATATGATGGGCTACCCAGAGATTCAATTGATCTTAGTTCTCAGAGAACTATAGCATCAATTGAATGGTAATGACAATAAGTTTTTTATTTTTTAATTTGAAAAAAAAATATTTTTTTTTTTTTTTAAGATATTTACCTGTTTAAACTTGAGTGAATAATTATATTTTTTTGTATATTTATTAAATTTTTATTTTTATTTTTATTTTAAATTGAGATTTTTGACAAAATAAAATTAAAATTAAAATTAAAATTAAAATTTTAATTTATTTTAATTAAAATTAATAATTAATATATTATTATAATGGATTTTATTTAAATAGTTTAATTTTTTTATTTGATTTGTTTTATCAAAATAATTTTTTTTTATTAATAAATTTAAAAAACTAACCTGGTTATTGGGATGGTATTTCAAAATATTCCAAAAAAAAATCAATTAAAAAAATTTTAATTTAAAATTTTTTTTAAAATTTTTTTTTTTTTTTTTTTAAAAAAACAAAAATATTTTTTTAAAAGATACTTATAAAAATGAATAATATTATTAAAGGTGCATCAATAATTTTAGGTTCGGCTATTGTCGGAAAAAGTAGTTATTCTTTGATTAATTGTGATGAAAATAAAACTGAACACACAAGTAATTTAACAACACCACCAACAACCAACAAACCAAAAAAATGTTGCAGTTCAAAAAAGAAGTGTATTAAAAAATCAAATAAAATTATTTCAAACAACCACCACAATGATAATAAAGAGGTAAATGAAAAATTAACAAATAGCACCAAAATGAGAAAAGACTTGGCAAAAGAAATCTTATCATGGAAAGAAGCTAATTTTGTTCCAGGTATCAGTGTTTGTATTCAAAATGAAGGCGAAACCATTTATAAAGAGGCATTTGGATACTCTGATATTGAAAACGCCATACCAATGAACACATCAAGTAAATTAAGAATTGCAAGTATTTCAAAAGCATTAACTGCTATAGGTTTAGGTGTTTTAATGGATGAAGTAAGTATAACATTAATGATTTAATTTTTAAAAAAAAAAAAAAATACTAATAATTGATTTAAAAAAAGGGTAAAATTAAATTAGAAGATTCAATACAAAAATATGTACCAGAATTTCCAAAAAGTCCAAACTATCCAGACGAGGAATTAAGTGTTGGAGATGTAGCATCACATTTAGGAGGTATTAGACATTATGGTAAAAATAGAGCTACAGAGTTTTACAGTGTTGGAAAATATAAAACATCAAAAGAATATAACCCACACAACCATCCAAATCCATTACAAATGTTTATAAATAACCCATGGGTAGAAGATTTAAATAAAACTAAACCAGGTCACTACTATAGCTATTCAACTTTTGGTTATACATTATTAGGATTGGTCATCGAAGAAGCATCAGGTAAAGACTTCCTTTCATTTATGAGGGAAAAGGTATTTAAACCATGTGGTATGTACAGCACTTTACCAGATGAACATGATACTTTAATTCCAGGACGTTCGAAACAGTATGCTTTAAAATTCATCCCCAGAAGCACTCAAGAAATTGCAGTATCAGGATATAACGAACCAAAAGTAGTTTTATGTAATGCAGAATTTACAAACTCATCCTACAAATGGCCAGGTGGTGGTTTCATTTCAACAGCTGAAGATTTATGTCGTCTTGGTTCAACTTTATTAATTGGAAATCTTTTAAAAACCGATACAATCAAAAGACTATTCACACCAAATCCTCCAAAAACTGGTAAATCACCACAAGAATATGCCACTGGTTGGATCTATCAAAAAAATAATGAAGTTAAAAACAATGATAGTGGTAAAGGTGATATCATCTACCATACAGGTAATGCTGTTGGTGGTTCAACTGTTTTAGTTACAATGCCAAATGAAAGAATCGTTGTTACAGTTTTAGCAAACCAAGAAAAAACATCAGGTTCAATAGCTGAATTTGGTTTTAAATTAGGAAGAATCACCTCACAATATAAAGACAACTATACAGAATAAATAAAAAGTTTAATATTTATTAAAATAATAATACATATAGATTATTTATAGTTTAATTTTTTTGTTTTTTTTTATTTGTTTTTTTAAATGATTATTAATTTAATTATTCTCTATAATTAAATTTTAATTTATTTAATTTTTTATTTGAAGATAATTTTTCTAAACTATAACCTTTTCTAATGGATTCTTTAATAGAGTTTGCTAAAATACTGTCTCTTTTAGTGATTAATGAAGTTACCAAACCAGCATTACCTGCTCTAGCGGTTCTACCAATACGATGGAGATAATCAATTGGATTGGATGGGAAATCGAAAAGAATTACATGATCGACACAATCGATATCGATACCTCTTGAAGCAATATCTGTGGAGACTAAAAATTGACAATCTGCTTGATTTGTAAAAGTTCTCCAATTGTTTGATCTACGATGTGGTGGCATTTCACCGTGGAGTGAGGTTGCTTTAAATTTATTTTCTGTTAAAAAGTATTCAGTTGAACGAACACTATTTGGAGTATTACAAAATATTAAAGTTTTTCTTGGAGGAGTTGGAGTTTTGGCTTCGTTGATTGCTTTTAAGAGTGCATTATGTTTATCACCCCCTTTTTCTTTTACATCTATGAATTTTTGTGATAATGTATTTAATGATCTGTGAATGGTTGGTGTTGCTATTTTTTCGATGGATGGGAATATTGAGTCAATTGTACTCATAAGTTGATCGGTTAATGTTGCACTGCAAATAACAGCATTTACTGGTAAAACACCCTTCTCTTGTTTATGTTGTAAACGATATTTAAATGGTTGAATAATATTTTCAATCTCTTGATCAAAACCTTTTCCAATTGTAAACATTGAATCTGCCTCATCGATTACGATATGTTGAAGCTTTGAAAAATAAATCATTTCTCTTTCTATTAACATTTGTAACATACCTGGTGTTGATATTAAAACATCTATTGGTTTCTTTTTAAAAGTTCTAACGTATTTATTTAAATCACCTCCACCACTTGATACAACAGTGCAACTAAATTTGGCTTTATGTGCTATCTTTTTTGCAACACCCATAACCTGTAATGCTAACTCTCTAGTTGGTACAATAATAATAGCTTTTGGTCTTCTTGGTAATCTTTTTAATAATAATTTGATATTTTCTTTTTCTTCTTCATTATTATTATTGTTATTTACATCTTCTTCATTTTCTACATTATCCTCGTTATCTTCATTTTCTTCATTTTCTACAATATTTTCTTCAATATTTTCTTCAACGTTTTCTTCAACTGTTTCTTCTTTTAATTTATTTTCTATATTATTTTCTTTTTCTTCTTTTAATTCTTTTAATTCCTCTTGTTCAGTTTTTTTAATTTCTTGAATGATTGGTAATAAATAGGTTAATGTTTTGCCTGTGCCTGTTTGGGATACATATAAAACATCTTTATTTTTTTTTAAAATTTCAGGAATTGCTAATTGTTGAATAAGTGATGGAATTGTAATATCGAATGAGTTCTTTAAAGTTTCAACCAAATAACCATATATACCTAATCTTGAAAATGCTACACCCCTTCCTTTGAAATTTGGTAATATACCATCATAATATTTTGATTTATTCTTTATTGAAATGGTTCCATCATCAAACTTTTCTATTACTACATTATTATCTTTTGTTTCAAATATTATATTTCTTTTCTCTATAAGCTCTTGTCTCTTTTTTTGTTTTCTTTTTAAAACTTCTTTTTCTTCATCAGTTAAAGTTCTAAATCCGTGAGTTGATGATAATGACTTTGCTCCACCATATAACTTTTCTTTTTTTGCGCCCATAAACTTTGATCTTTTTGTTGTATTGTTTTTATAACTATTATTATCATTATCATTATTAGATTTTATAGTATTTTTATTGTTATTATAGTTATTTGATTTTGTGGAATAGTTATTTATTATTATATTATTATTTAAAGAAAATTGATTTATACCAATAATATTACTATTTATAAAGGAGTTTTTAAAAACCCCCCCTCCCTTATTAATGTGATTAATTAATTTAAACATAATCGAAAAATAAATATGATATGATTAAAATAATTATTATTTATACAAAAAAATAAATGAAAAAAAAGTAAAAAAAAAATTTTATTTAAAATAATTTTCGTTTTTTTTTTTTTTTTTTTTTTTTTAATGCAATAATTTTATTTTAAATTAATAATTTATAAATAAAACCTAAAATCGGATTTTGTTGGTTGTTATTCAAATAAACTATATTATGGTTCATTATATCCAAAAAAAAACTATAATAAAAAGTTTATAAAAAAACACAAAGTATTTTTTTATATTTTCTAATTTTAATATAAAATAATTATACCAAAAAAAAAAAAATTAAAATATTCTTTTTTATTAAACTATATTATTTGATTTTATGATTATAGTATTATGTTATTGTTTTTTTTTAACTAGAAATTATTTTAAATTTATAAACTACTAGACCTGGTAAAGTTGAACAAGTTTATTTATTGGTTTTCTACAAATTGGACATTCATTTATACCCCGAGCACAACGTAAACAAACTGCCAAATGTCCACAATCTAAAAATATTGTATTGATTTTTTCATCTAAACAAATAGTGCAAGAATCTGACTCTGGTGTTTGACCTTGAAGTATTGGATGGTTATATTTAGGTTTATTGCTATTTGTTGTATTGGAACTACTACCATTATTTGCAACATTAGAATCATTATTATTTATATTATATAAATTATGATTATAATTATTGTGATTATTATTATTGTTGTTGCTGTTGTTGTTGTTGTTGTTGTTGTTGTTGTTGTTGTTATTGTTATTGTTATTGTTGTTGTTATTGTTATTAATTGGTACATATTCATTATCATTTCTTTCTGAGAAACAACATCCACAATTATTTTTTATTTTATTTTTACAAAAGTAAAATAAAAAAAATATAAAAACCAATCCTATAATTGATGCTAATATAATTATGAATATTTTTAAAATTGAATCTTAAAAAAAGAAAGAATTAGAATATTTTTTTTACAATGAATACTTATTATTAAAAAATAATTACTTATAGATGGTGGAATAACCAAACAACTACTTGTGGTTTTAATGATGATAGATAAATGGCATGGATTAATAAATGTAGAAATGATTTCATTATTAACTGAACCGCAAATTAAGCTAATATTAGTTTTATAGTATTGAATATTATCACCAAACCAATTATTATCTATAGCACATTCATCTCCTATAAAAGAAAAGTCCAAACCTAATTGGCCATTCTCTTCGTATTCTAATGATTTTGAGTATCCTAAATGTAAAGCTTCATTTCCTGTATCCCTGTTTACCATACATACAGAATCATTGAGCCCACATGGAAACGTTGTATTGTATGAACATAAATTTATATAAAAATCAAAGGTTTTATTATATTTGCTTTTAAAAATAGTACTATATAAATAAAAGTAGAGTTAGTTTTTATTATTGAAATTTTTATTTGTTTTTATAAAAAACATACCTTTGTATTGATGATAAATCATATTCATTTCCATTTAATATGAAAACACTTTGGCAATAATTTTGAGGTGTGGTACTACTACTATCACTACCAATACTACTAACTTTGTAATGATTAAATGATGGTTTGTTGTTTTGATTTATTTCTGGTTTATTCATAATATTTGGATTGTTTATTTCCTCATTACTATTATTATTTAAACAATATATTTCATTTAAAAATAATAATAAAAATATAAATATAAACAATTTATTATTATTTATATATTTCATTTTTATGTTGGTTATTATATTATAAATGGAGTGGATTTTATTTTGTACTTGACTTTTTCTTTTACTTTTTAATGTAAAGGTAAGGAATGTGTGTAAATCGATTAAAAAAATAAAAAAATAAATAAAAAAATAATAAAATAAAAAAAAAAAAAAAGTGAATGTATTAGATTTATTTTATTTATTTATTTATTTTTTATTTATAATCTATTATTAATAATATTATTATTATTATTTATTTAAATAACAAAGTATCCTTTTAGTTAAAAGAATTACTTTTATTTATTTAATTAGATAAAAAAAAAAAAATTAATATAAGAAAAAAAAAAAAACATAAAAAAAATAAAAAAAAAAAGAAAAAAAATATTTTAACACACCCCCAAATTTAAGTTAATATTAATATTAAAATTTTTTTTTAAATCAAAGAAATTTGTCTCTATAAATATAAATACTATAAATATAAAAAATAAAAATAAATGCTCTAAACATTTTTTGCATCTATTTTTTTATCAAGATCTCAATTATTTTATAATAATTTTTTTTTTTAAAATTTGTGTGTTTGTATCTACATATATTATATAAATAAAAACAAAATATTATAATTGCAATGTAATGAACAATACCCTACTATTTAATTAAATATTATTAAACCATATTTGGATATTATTAGACAACAGAAACAAATCTTAAAAAAAATTATAAAAAATTAAAAAAAAAATAATAAAAAATTAAAAAAAAAAATTAAAAAAATTAAAAAAAAAAAAAAAAAATAAAACCATAGCCGAAATTTCCTACTTTCAATATTTTGCCCACCTTCAAAACCAAACTAATCTAGTTTATGAAAAAAATAAAAGAAAAAAATATATTTTAAATTAATCTTGGAATATTCTCGTAACTTCAAAATTCAAAAATTTTAAAAATATTAATTTTTTGTGGAAAAGCCATTTTTTTTTTTTTTAAACACAAATAATATTATATATACAAATAATCATAAAAATAATAATAAAAAATGATATTTCCAAATTATTTATATGATAAAATAACAAAATATATTATAGATTATTTATATATATATAAATTAAAATATAATGATAATCAATTATCAAATTATACATACAACAATTTGGAAATTATAAATTTAAGTTTAGTAAATAAACAATTTTTCGAATTTGTATCAGTTTATATAAAAGATGTTTTAAGTTTCAAAAATTATAAATACCTTGCTCCATTAGTAGACAATCCAAATAGTATTTTCAATGATCAAAATATTTCAGTTAAAATTTACCATTCATATTTAGATTATAAAAATGGTTTGGGTGGTGCGGGAAATACTGACCAATATAGAAAGATATTAATAGATTGTGATGAAGAAGAAACATTAGAATTATTCCTTTCAAATAAAACCTTTTCAAATAATGTGTTTGTTAATGTCACACTTTCTATGACTAATGGATCAGAAATTTACCAAGATAACCTAGGTTTTCAAAAAATAGAAGAAATTAGCAATAGAATTCAGATTAATATAATTTTATTGTTCATTGACAACAATAATATCCAAAATTCTCAAGAAGCTTTCGAAAAGATTATAAAATTAAAATCAAAATCTATAATTATTGTAATAAATGACTCAATGGCCTCCTCAGAAAATTCTTCAAAATTTTAGGTGAAAGTACAACTTTAAAGAAGTTTCAAAAAAAAATGGTATTGCACCCAGTGCACATGAATTATCAAATATAAAAAATGAAACCCACCAAATTAAAGTTTTTTACGTTCCCGAAATAGAGCTCTATGACTATGTAAGACTTTTTAATGGTAAAGCGATCAGAGAAGAAAACAGTATCATGGAGATGAACAAGAAAGACTGGGATACTACAATCAATATGTTGTCATCAAACAAGACCATTGAGCATTTTTCATTAAGTGCGTTTGGTTTCGATTTTACATCTAGTGAAAGAAAAGGCTCTATTCTTCCATTCTCAAATACAAAGCTAGATCTTTCAGTAGTCACAAAAGATTTAAAAACCGTTTTAACAAGTCCAAATAATAATATTAGGTCACTCGAACTCGGTTTATTTGGTCAGTTTATTAAAGATAAATTAATATTAGAAGGTTTATCAGAAAACCAGACCATTATTAAATTATCATTATTTTCAACACCAGCCAACGACATTATTACCCAAGTTTTGCCAAAAAATAGAACCCTCAGAAATTTAAGTATTACTGATAAAACCAAACATATAATAGAGTCAATCAAATTATTATCAAAAACCGCCAATATCGATTTATACTCTGTCTCTTTCCATCTCTATCACGAAGAAAATGTGATGCAATCAATTTTAAGTGTTTTACATGACAAGAAAAATTCTTTCCAATCAATTAAAGAGATTAATTTTTATTTTTTCAAAATTAATTTTAAAAATTATTCTTATTCAAATTCAAATTATTTTTTAAAAGATTCAAATACCCTTGTAAATTTATTTTGTTTGGGTTAAAAATAAAAATAAATAAATGAATAAATAATTATGAACATAGTTTATTTTTAGTTTTTTGTGTTTAAATATTTTTTATTATTATTGATATTTTAATATTGATTAAACCCCAAACGAAGATATATCTAAACCAAAAATATTATTATTATTTGATTCATTAAAAAAAACACTATTTCTATGGGTTGGTTTATCGGTAACATTTGATCTTTTAATTTGGAAATTGACCAATATACCATTTATATAAAGTATATATAGATTAATACTAAACATTAATGGATTGTTCTTTACATAGTTTCTAACTACAGATATACCAATAATTAATGATGGTCCTCCCACTGGTGGCGATAAGACATTCTCTAAAAACATATTTACACCTGATGATTCATCATTTTCTTTTCCTTCACCATTATTTTCGTTTTCATTTTCATTTGCTTTTTCTGGTTTTTCTTTATAAATTCTATACAATGAAACTAAACGTGCTGGACCTTGTGATGCTGCTATTACTAATGATAACTCGGGTACAACTTCTAAAAATGCTATTCTATCGATTTGAGTTTGCATAATTGGGAATGATGTCGGTATAGCATTTGATAATACCATTAATCTATCTAAAACTATATCTGATAAATATAAATTTTGATATGTTGAAAATATAATATTGCTTGTGAATTTTTTCTTATCAATATTAACCATACTATTATCTATTTCACCATCGTTATTACTATAATTAGTTGATGTTCTGGTGTTTGCGGTGGTGGTAGCAATGGGTCTTTCATGATAGTCTATATCTACGTCATATTCTTCATCTTCATCCTCTCCCTCTATTATGCTATCATTGTCGCTTTCTTCAATTTCTATAATATCATCGTCATTATTATTATTATTATTATTATTATTATTATTATTATTATTATTATTATTATTATTTATTGTTCCTTGAATAGGTTCACCTAAAAGTACTTCATTCTCATCTTCATTATAAAAATCTAAATCAATTGTTTGAAATTCGACATTATTTCCATTAGCTTCTTCATCGCTTTCGTTAATTTCTTCATCTGGTTGATATTCAAAGTCATCGTCATCATCTACTTCTATTTCATCATCAGTTTCATTATTGGCTTGTGGTATGAGTTGGGTTTGTTGTGCTAGTTGCTGCTCTTCTTGTTGTGTTAAACCCCTCCAAGACTTTTCAATTAAATGTTTTTCTCTTTTTTCATAGTAATGTGGTAAAAACTCCTCTCTATCGGTTAAATCTAGCCATCTGCAACACCAACACCATTGAGCTACACTTTGAATTCTAATAATTTTTCCAGTATTTACATCCCAAACCCTAATATTTTTATCGATACTAACTGATAATAAGTAGTTCCCACATGGCGAAAAGTCGACGGCTGGTACGTTATGTTTATGCTTTGATAAAATTACTTTGGAGGCTTGGGGATCATCATCATTTAAATTCCATATGGTAATACGAAAATTATTTGCACTTACTGCCAATAATGGCCTGCTGGGACAGATTGCGATGCCCCATGTTGATATTCCATTATTATAAAGTCTAATTGGCTCTCTATCCAAATCATTTACAAACAATAATCTTATAAAGCCACCTTCATCTACAGATACCAATACTTCTTCCCCATCTAAAATACCAAGTCTAATTTGATTAATTGTCATTTCTTGTGTATCTAATGTTATAATTCTAATTACAATACTTGGATTAAAGGTATCCCTAACCCAAATTTGATCCGCTTCTGCTGTAAATAAATATTTTGAATTGTGGCTTACCGCCATTAAATTTAATTTCTAAAAATAACTATATTAGTATTCTATTTATAAAAATAATAAAAATTATTTATATATAAATTCTCTGCTTACCCAAGGAATAGCATGAAATGTATTAATTCTAATACTTTGAATATCTTGAAATTTTAAAGGTATAATCGATGGTGAAACTTTATTATTTTGATTATTTACATAGTATTGATTTTGTTTCGCATAGTACTTTAAATTTTTTGGGTCTTGCAATCCTTCATATATTTGTTCATTCTCTTCAAAATTTTCATTATTATTATTATTATTGTTATTATTTATTTGGTGATTAATAATATCATTAATATTCATTATTTATTATTTATTTATTATTTATTATTTATTTATTATTTATTCTATTTTTTTTTATTGTGTTTATTATTTATTTGAAAATGTAGATGTGAATATTAAAATAAATTTAGAATAAACCAAAAAAAAAAATAAAAAAAAATGAAAAATAAAAAAATAAAATAAAATAAAAAAAAATTTATTTAATTTTTTTATTTTTTTTATTAATTTTTATTTATTTTTATAGATTTATAAGGATTATCACAAATACTATCTATAACAATGATAATAATACAATAAAAACATACTGAATATTATTAAAATAATTTTAGTTTTTTTTTTTTTTTTTTTTTTTTTTTTTTAAAAATACAAATATAAAATTTTATTTGGTTTATTATTTATCTATACATTATCTTTTTTAAGTGGTTGATCGTGTTTAAGTGCAAAGTAATTTTGAATTGATTCCAATTGTACTTGATCTAAGTGGCCCTATAAAGAAAAAAAAATTTGTTAATAAAAATTTAAATAATAATTTAAAAAAATAAAAAAGGGTTGATTATTACTCTTTGAATAATTTCGTCAAGATATAATATAAATTTTGGTATTTGTTCTATAAAATATGCTTCGGTTACACCTTTCTTTTTACAAATATCTTTTAATGATTCTACAATTGGTATTAAAATATCTGATACTGTAATATTTAATAATAACAATGATTTAATTAATATTAATAATTATTAACCTTTATTAAATTTTATATATAAATATAATCTTACATGCTAATTCGTCATATTCGTCAGATCCACATAAAAATAACATTAAATCGCCAACACCTGTAAATACAGTTATATATCCGCTAAACTCGGTAACTAAATGTTTTTCATTTTTAGCATTCCCCCATTCCTCTTTTGTAAACTGATATAATAATTTTTCATATTCGCTTTGTTTTTCTTCGTTTAAATTGTTATAATATTTTGAAAATACACTATTCCCATTTAAATTGGTGATTAATAAATTATTAATCATTTTTCTTTTTTAAAAATAATTTAAATAATTGAAAAAAAAAAAAAAAAAAAAAAAAAAAGATTTTTTTGAAAAATTTAAAAAAAAATAAAAAAAAAAAATTTTATTTTTTTTTTATTTATTATTTTATTATAAATTCACATTTTTTTTTTTTATCACAATGTAATTTTTCTCCCAATAGATTTAAAAATAACTCTTTAAACGAAAATTATATAATATTAAAAGTGATAATTTTGTTCAAATAATAATAATTATTATGACAAACCCAATTGGTTCATTTTCAGCCGCTTCAAATGCTTCTGGTATTTTAGAAGATACAATTGCAATTACCGAATTCGACTCAAACAATTATAATGCTCTTAGTTTCTGGGAATGTGCATGTGCTGCACCAAATATACAAATCAATATGAATCGGTTAAAAAACAAAGTTCCTTATAGATCATGTGGAATCAGTACTCTAGGTAACGTCAGATTCAGCAACTTATTTAGGTAATGTTGAAGAGTGTGAAGAAGCTGGTACACCTGAAATCATTGGCATTATATCTCATTTATTCGTTGATGTTTAGTATTTCAATAAAGAGACAATACAGTCAGAATAGATACAAGTAAATCAAAAGAAATGAAACACAGTTAATATTGTAGATCAAGATAATGATCAATTAAAATTTTATTTGTTTGAGGTGGCGATGACAAAGATCATTTATATCATCTCTATTGAATGATTGATTTGGTATATAAACAAGAGCAAAAATAAAAATGGATCTAAAAAAGATAACAAGAAAGAATTACTAGAATTAATATAATAAGTTATTAGGCCAGGAACGGTGCATTTAAATGTTAATTTTACAATGTCATATAAAGAGATTGATTTCTTAGTTCAAGCCTTAGAATTTGTATCAAGTCATAGTTGGAAGTTTTTACCACTTTATACATTTGTCGTCGCATCTGATGAATGGAAGCATAGAAGCAAATTAACCAAAATGTTTTAACGTCGTCGAGAATAATTTATAAACACAAACAAAGTAAAAAATAAAAAAATTACTTTATAGTAATCATAATAAAAATTTAGATCTTTATTTAAAATTTATAAAACTCTATTCTATAATTTATTCTATAGTTTATTCAATTGTCTTATTTCTTTTTATTTTTTGATCCTTGACTTTTTTCATACTCGTTTATCAAATCTCTACAATAACAATCACTTTCGGCTTTCCAGGTTTCCTCTTTAACATCATATCCCTTCCATTTCATTTGATATTCTTTTATACCTCCACGAATACGCATTGAAAGAATTTTCTCTTCGGTGTATATATAATTGTCTATGGATTCATTTTTTTTGGTGAATGTAGAGAGATTTATATAAACATTCTCTTCAATTTCCTTAGATTTCTTATCAACTAATTTGGCCAAGGAGACAGTTGATAATCTATCAATTGACACTCCACTTGATTTGTATCTCGAAGGAGCGGGTGCTGATACTGAAGTTTTATTTGGTGATAGTTTTATATTTGATGATTTGGTTATATTAATTGGTTCAAGGTCTTTATCTATTGGAGGGGGTGTGCTTGAAAGGTCAAAATCGCGATTATCATTTCGTTTGTTTATATCTCTTTCTTTTCTTTCATTTTCTTTTTCTTTTTCTTTTACCCTTTCCTCTTTACTAATATTTCATGTTTCTTCAACTCTTTATTTGTCTTTAGGCTCTACATCCATCATTGATCTTCATTTTGTGAAATTTTAATTTTTTTTTTTTATCTCTTCCATCTCTGTCTTTATCCCTTTCTTTTCTCTTTTTTCTATTTTCTTTTTCTATTTCTTTTTGTCTTTTCTTTTCCTTTTCTTTTCGTCTCTTTTCAATTTTTTTTTTTTAATTTTTAAATTTCATTACTGAAAGAAATTATTACAATCATAATATAATAAAATGTTTTCTTTAATGGATTTAATTTTCTTTTATATGCAGTCCTAGTTATTTTATACTGCAAATTTTCAAACAAAAATATCATCAAAATTATTGTTGGTTGAAAATTTACAGTAAAATAACTAGGACTGCATAAAAAAAGAATATAAAATCGATTAAAGAAACATTTTATTAAATTATGATTGTAATAATTTCTTTCAGTAATGAAATTTAAAAATTAAAAAAAAAAAATCATACAATAAAAAAAAAAAGAAATTAAATAAAAAATAAAATTAAAATATAAAAAATAAATACAAAAAAAATTTTATAAACTTGAAGAACTGTTTTGAAAATTCTAATTTTTTTTTAAAGAAAAAAATAAAAAAAATAATTTTAAAGTAATAATTTAGTTTATATCTTTTTTTATACTGATTATTGATCTTTTTTTTTTTATTTGATTTCAATTTTTTATAAAATTTTCTTTTAAATGATATCCAAAACATTATACAAACTTTTACATTTAAATGATGATTTTTAAAAAAAAAAAAAAAATTTAATAATTAATTGATTTTTTATTATTATATGATGAATACAAATTAATAATTATTTGATTTACATAAGAATAAATATTCCATTTATTTAATTATTATATAGGGTTATTTTATAAAGAAAAAAATATAATTATATAAAAATATAAAAAAAATAAGAAAGAAAGAAAAAAAAAAAAGTTAGAATCTAGTGTTGATCTGTTTATATAGAGCAAAATGTTTTAAATTCTATGTTTTCTTTGATTTTAGTTTTGTTGAAGTTTTGTTTTTAAAAATGAATACTTATATTTAATATATTTTATTGTCATTTTATTATTGAGGAGGTGTGTATATAGACAGGTATAAACAAAGCACATTATAATAAATAAAATTTTTTTTTTAATTTTTTTATTATTTTTATTATATAAATTTAAAATTTAAATTTGGTTGTTTATAATAAAATAATGTTTATGGTGGTGCAAAATTATTTTTGAAAAAAAAAAAATTAAAAAAAAAATTAATTTTTTTTAAAGTTTTTTTTTACCAAATTTATCATCATTTATTGAATGTGCTATAATATAAATAACAACATACAATAATAGTAATAATAATTGAAATAATAAAATATTTTTTTTATCAAATGGAGAAACAATTATATATTAAGAATATAAGATTCAACATACAACGCAACTTCAAAACAGTTTGAATTTAAAACTTATTGTTCCAAAGAACATTAAAACTGATAATGTTAGTTATACAATTTCATAAGATTCTTTGGGGATTAATAGTTACTACAAAAGTTTTTCATTACCTTCTCCATATCATTTAAGAGTTGCTGAATCAAAAGGTACACACCATCAAACCGATTGATTTATGAAGAGTCTTCAAGAAAGAATAAAGATTATTAAGTATGCAATTACGATTTCAAAGATTTTTAATTATTCCTCAATGTTTGAAGGTCTTAGCGCGCCCTACCCTGCTCATGTAAATGATCATATAGAAAGTATTCAATCAACTGGAATAATAGATTACTTTTTCAACAATCACCAAAGTAACTCCATATTTCGAGAACATAACAATCGGCTTTGCTTTTGTATATCAAACATCACAGTTCTCAAGCATTATGAAGTTTTAATGACTAGGCTAGGAAGACTCTTTTTTGTTAATGATATGGCACCACCAGAAGAGAAACCAAAATATTATTTCAATTTCGTATTCACTTTATTCAGAATACACAAATTCGGAAAATATAGGGAAATTTTTAGGTTTAAGAAGAATCTTTAGCTACTTTAAACATTTCTTTTAAATTATATCTCGATTTTTTGGATCAATTGTTCCATAGTTAACTGCTAAGCAATCTGAACTCGAAGGTAATTATCGTACTGTTCATCAAAGATTAATTACTAATGCTGAAGAAATTGCCTTCTATGATGGTAGTCGTAAAGAAAGACAAATTATAAATTTATCATTTGGTGATATCTATAATCATACCGGTTATGTTAGTTACCTTAAGTGCTTAGTTGGAAGTAAGTAGTAGAATATAAATTTATAATATTTAACTTCCGATATTAATTAATTTTTTATTTATTTTTTTATAGTTTTTGATGGATTTTTAGTTAAATATTGTGCATCAATTGTTGGTTATGGTTGTATGGTATTACCAATCTACACTGGTATCAGAGGTAGTTCAAATAAAGATTCAACTGAATTAACCAAAGATTATATTAGAAATACTCAATTAATGGTTGCTTTATCACAAGCCATTGGACAACTTGTATTATTAGGTAATAAGGTAACCTTGATGGCAGGTTATACTTCACGTATTTCAAAGCTCTTAGAAATGATCAAACAAATTAAGGAACGTGGTACATCACAATTTACTATTGTTCACGAAGATGAAATTCCAGGTTTATTAACCAATAGCAACTCACCAGTTAATGAAAAATATGATAGCAATGTCGATATGTCAAGCTGGTTAGAAGAATGGAGAAAGAGATCAGACCAAACTCGTCTTATTAAACGTAGTCAATCCCGTACTACCAATTCTAATGCTAACCAAGTTAGTGGAGGTGGTACATTTGTCGAAGGTGAATTCATTAAATTTGAAAATGTTTCAATTGTCTCACCAGAGGGTAAAATATTGGTCGAAAATTTAGATTTCCAAGTTATGCCACACCAAAATGTTATGATTACTGGTCCAAATGGTTCAGGCAAAAGTTCATTATTTAGAATTTTAGGTGAATTATGGCCACTTCATTACGGTACTGTTATCAAACCAAGAAAAGAAGATATCTTATTTGTACCACAAAAACCATACCTCGTTTTGGGAACTCTCCGTGATCAAATTATCTATCCACATAGCCACGACGATATGAAGAGATTAGGTGTTACCGATGACGATCTTCAACATCTCTTAGCTACCGTCGATCCAAATCTTACCATTATTAGACAATGGAGTTGGGGTGACACTAAAGATTGGTTCACTGCCCTCTCTGGTGGTCAAAAACAACGTATTGCCATGGCTCGTCTCTTTTATCATCGTCCACAATATGCCATCCTCGATGAATGTACTAGTGCTGTAAGTGATGAAGTTGAAGGTAAAATCTACGAAACATGCAAGAAATTAGGCATCACCCTTTCACTGTTTCACATCGTCCACAATTAAGAGCTTATCACGACTATGTTTTATTATTTAATGGTAGAGGTGGTTGGGAATGGTCTAAAATTGATCACTCCGAAGATCATTTAAAAAAACCATTATCACATTAAACTAAACAGTAAATGGTAACAAAAAATAAAAAAAAAATAAAAAAAATTTTAAAGTAATTGCTAAATATTATCCAATTTAAATCATAATGATGTAGAGTTTCGTTTTAGTTGTACTTTTCAAAAGAGAAATTTCTTTATTTATACTATTAATTTGAACCCCTACTTACTTTTTTGTATTAATTATTTTTCAAAAAGACTCAATTAGAATGAAGCATTAGTAGATAGTCTGAAGTTATCGTTTTGGTTAATATTTGAAGTTTCCAACTGTGCTCGAAAAATTATCCATTTTCTCAATTTTTTTTCCCACTTACTTTTTTTTTTTAAAATTTTTTTTTGGATTGTGGTAGGGAGGATATTTAGTCCCATAATTTTATATTTTTTATTTTTTTTGAGATAATAAATTTTGAAATTGAAAATATATTTTCAAGAATTCCTTACAGCAATGAAATGATGATCTGGAGAGACCCACTCATTAGAGAAACATGGGTCTTTCCGGGAAAAATTGGATTCTGTCAAAAATATTTTTTTTTTTTTTTTTTTTTAAAAAAATAAATCCAAACCATTAAAATTACCAGAAACCACATTGATCAATTTCCCAATCACCTACATATAACAATACAAATTACATTATATATCATTTTAGTTATATAAAATCTTAATTTTTATAAATTAAGTTTTATCAAATAATTTTAGCACTATCCAACAGCTTTTTAAAAGCTATTTCAATGTATATTAATTATACACCACAAAACACAGATCAAATGAATTTAGATCGTATTAAAGATCTTTAATCTTCTATCTCCACTATCTCCAATCTTCACCAATTTGTCTTTCTAAAATTACCAATACACTAATTATTGGTTCATTTTCAGCCTCTTCAAATTTTTCTGGTATTTTAGATTGGCTTTATTCAGAAAGAGCAAGTTTATTAGGTATCTACCCAAGCCCAGATTCCACCATTACCCCTTTGGAAAATAAAGAAAGCAGATCAAGAAACCTATAGCATCATAGTAAATTTTTTCGAAATCTCAAGAAGGGTGAAAATGTCAGATTTTGGAAAGATGATTCAAAGTCTGAGATTTATACCATTGATTCATGTCCTCTTATCATTGAATGGAATAGTCAAATTCGTGTTATATCAATAAGCATCAGTTCCACAAATGATATAAAAATTAAAAAGGTGGAAATAAAAAAATAAAATTAAATTTATTTATGATTTTAAATAACTTTATTAATAAAAAAATTTCTAAAAATTTTTATTTTTTTTATTTTTTTTATTTTAATTGTTTTAAATTTATATTTTAATTAGTTAAATTTGATTATAAAAATATTTATTTGTCTAATTGTGCCTGGATCTTTTTTACCAGTTAATTGAGGGTGAGTTTTTTTATAATCCTTGATTGCTCCCATAGTTGATTTAAATCTATAAATTGTTGCTGTGGTTATTTTGATGGTAGCGAAAATTAAAGTTAAACGGACTTCTTGAAGCGGCGAGGTATGATATTACCTAATTTGATGAATAGCTATGAAAGCTTCTTTGTTCTTTACCTTCTCTTCCTAAAACTTTTTTAATTCTATCATAATTACTTGGCCAGAGCAAATTAATGATATTCATAAAATAGTTGATTAGATTGAATGGCGCAATAAATCGAATACTGTATTGTTATTATATTGGGTGATTAATTAATATTTAAAGAAAAAATAAAATAAAAAGATTATTAATATATAATTTAATTTTAATTAAAATTTTAAATAAAGATATCATACTTAAGTTATGATTTCTTACGAATTCCCATCCTTCTTATAATTAACTGATCAAATAGAAGATCTACTCACTTCCCTAATTGTTTTAAATTCTTTCTTTATTTTCGGTTCTTAATCTGATTTTGTTAGCTAGACCGATATTATTTAAATTGTTTGGACTCCTACAATTCAATGTATTTTACATTTGAAGTACCACATGAATTACTAATAGATATAACACCACTTGAAACGGCATTTGCTTTACCACCTAAATCACTACTTGAACCACTACTTGAACCAACCACATTTGATTTACTATTTATATAACTACTTGAAAAATTTATTGACCACTGTTTGAATCCCCACGCGAACTATCACTTGGACGACCATTTGACCACCACTTGAACGATTACTTTCACAACCATTTTACTGATTACTTGAACCATTATTGGGACCACCATTTGAACCACTACTTAAATTGCTTGAACCACCGCCTGAACCCTTCTTGAAACATTCCTTAGACAACCATTTGAATCACTGAGCGAACTACCACTTGAACTACCATTATTTAATAAAACCTTCTGTCTATAAATTATTGATTAGCTGTACTAATACCGAAATTTATAGACCGATGTCAATGCATAATATGACAATAGTGAAATCTATAGTATTAAAAAATGAATTAATAAATTATAAAAAAATTATAAAAGATAAAAAAAAAAAAGAAAATAATTATTTACCTTTAAAAATAAAATATAACCTGGCTGACTTTTCTATAATTTTAATAAGTTACGCCTTGAACCATCATTGGACGTACTGAACCATAGTGTTCTTCGGCATGATGAGATAAAATAATTGCTCTATCATTTTCAATTGAACTTGGAACAATTTCAATGAAAAAGCTGCTATTAGATTCAATTGATGAAATAATTGTAATCTTAGATTTATAAACTTCAGCAGCAGCAATTAATGTTAAGTGGTCACCCCAAGTACCTCTTCTTGCCATTTGGTTGCAATACTTATTCCAATTTGTAGTATTTGCAAATTGGGATATTTTTGCACCATTTTTAAGGGTGAGATTTTTGTTTTTTATGAGCCATGTGGCAATAGCTCTTCTTATTTCGAAACTATGTTTCAAGTCCCCATAGAGTTGGTCAGATAATGCGTACATCTGACAATTGCCATCTCCTGGAATTACTCTACTATTCTCTAATTGGTAGAGCTCCAAACGTTCATTTAGACGTCTTATGGCTTCATCCTCTGGTGGTGATGGTTGTGGATTTTTGACTGCCCCTGAGTTAATACAAGTTGCAGCTGTTGAAATAACTGGGGCTGTGGCAGCTGTTGATGTAGTGGCTATAGTTGGATTTGAGATTGGAGGTGGAGTTGTAACCATTGGTTCAAAATACTGACCCTGATGATCAATATGGTGTTTGTTGTTTGTTGTTTGTTGTGGTTGTGATTTTTGTTGTGATTCTTGTTGTTGTTCTTCTTCTTTTATTTCGTAATCACGAATACTTTGAAGAAGTTTTTTATAATCAGGGGTGATTTTTGGTTTTGGTTTTGGTTGTGATTGTGATTGTGATTGTGGTTGTGGTTGTGGTTGTTGGGGTGGGGGTGATTGTGATTGTGATTGTTGGTCTTGGATTTTGTTGTGGTTGTTATTGTTGGTTGTTGGTTGTGGTTGTTGGGGTGGGGGTGATAGTGATTGTGGATTTTTTTGTGGTGGGTTATTTTTTTTATGGAAATCCTCATAAAATGCGTCGTCGAAGAAAAAGTCTTCGTCGTGCTTTATAGTTCCATCTGGATAGTGGTGTTTGGTGGTATTTTTAAAAAAACAAAAAATAAAAAAAACAAAAAAACAAATTACAACATAAAACATTTTTTTTACTATTCACAAATAAAATAAAAATAATTTATTGACAAAAAATTTATTATTTTTTTTTTTTTTTTATATAATATACAAACAATTATTTACAAAAAAAACAAATAACTAATAATAATAAAATAATTTATTACTAAAATAAATGTATTTTTTTTTTTTTTTTTTAATAATATACAAACAAAAAATTATTAACAAAAAAAAAAAGTGTAATAAAATAATAAAAACTATTTGTGAAGTTGAGGTGTGAAAAAAAAAAAAATAATGTAAAATAATATTATACTATGGGTAAAGTTAATTGGTGTAAAAAAAAAACAATTTAAAATGTAAAATAGTGTGTGTGGTTATGAAAGCTATTATTTTTAATTAAAAAAAAAAAAAAATGTGTTTTTTTAATTAAAAAATAATATAAAAAAATATAATAAATTAAAAAAACAATACATTAAAATATTTTTTTGTTTTTTTTTTTATTTAAATTTAAAAAAAATCATATAAATTGCGAATTTAACTTTTATACAGATTACCTTAAAATCAACTATATAAAGTAAAGTTTTCATCTTTATATATCTCTTCATGATATAATTTAGTAACTAATTTGTTTATGATAAAATAGTATAGAATAAACTTGGTAATGATTCTCTAAATTGTGTTTATGAATAAATTTGTTTAAATAAATATTTCAAATAAAGTTTCAGTAGGGTTATTTATAATTATATACTATTTATTTATTAGTTTTGTTAGCAACACAAAAATTAATTTTGTCGATTCATATTTAGTGAATGGCTATCAAATCAAAAAGATATTTCAAATATTATTTAAAACTCGACTTCCTACATCAAAACTAAGTATTTAGATAGTAGTTTAGAATTTGAATTGTTATATAGTTAAAAAGAAGATCACCAACAATATAGAAAGATTTATTTAAATGTTTAGTTAATATTCACTCCCCTGCTCTCAATACTTGATTTTATACATCTGGTTCCTAATTAACTATCCAAATCAAGAAGACACCAATCTATGTTATTTAAATTTAATAAATAAATATTTTAAACCCAACATTCTCTTTGTCCTTATTTTAAATTTTTAAAATTATTCTTTTTTCATTTTAAAATTCAAACCAAATTCTTTTTTTCTAAAGTTCCATTTATATACCAAACTGTTTTAGAAGCTTAGAGAATTTTCAATTTATAAATATCTTAAATGATTTTACACTCTGTAAACAATATATAAATCTACCTAAAAGCTATTTTTGGACAAAAATAATATTTAAATTTTTATATTATATAAAATATAATAAACCAATACATTTAAATAATTAAATAATTAATTAATAAAACAAATATAAAATTAAAAAAATAATCAATAAAAGTGTGTGTGTGGTAAAATTTTTTTTTTTTTTTTTTTTTTTTTTTTTAATATCTTTAATCTTTTTACACTATAGCCACAGAGTAAATACAAAATATGAAATTAATTATTAATTTTATTAATATATATTTAATTTTTTTATATTATAAAATTTATTTTTATTTTTTTTAAATTTATCATTTTTTTTTTTACTGGTAAATTTAATCATTTTTATCTTATTATTTTTTATTTTTTAACCTTTTTTTTTTTTTTTATATTATATTTTTTTTCTATAAATTATTGTACAAATATTAACCTTTAAATAATAAAATGATATTCAAAACAAGATACAATATCATTTTCTTTTTTTTATTTTTATTTATTTTAAAAATAAATTCAGATTGTAAGTTTTTTTTTTTTTTAATATATATTTACAAAATGCTAATACTTTTTTAAAAATTTAAAGCAATTAATAATATAAATTTAGATGGATTATTAAAATTAGATGAAAATAATAATTTACTTAAATCAAACAAATACACTCATCACTATAGTCAAAATCATATTGTTGACTTTTTATCAGATGAAAACAAAAGCTTGTTAAAACATATTGTAAAAAAAAATGAAAATAATATTGTTGGAATTAGCTATGGTAATGGTATGCCATTTTCAAGTGGATTACTCTTAAATGATAGATATGTTTTAACTTTTTCAAATGTTGCCGGTGATGAAAGCTTTGATGAATTAAATGTAAGATTAAACTATCAAAAAGAAATTGCCTTAAGACCCTTTTCAAACAACTTAACAGAATTAATGGACTTTGGACAAGCAATACCAATTGATGGAATTGTAGAAACCAACAGTGAAATCGGCTTCAGTATTTTAAAACTAAAATACAACACTCCAAGCTTCAATAGGGTAAATGTATCAAATAAAAAACATAAACAATCAAAACTAAAATTATTATTTAATTTTGAAAATAATGGTCCAAAAAAAGTTGCTTTAATTAATCATGAAGAACATATCAAACTATCCAATGGTGTATACTTTGATGATGCCGGTCACTTTATTGGTCTATTAAATGACCATTTCGAATTCATTAGTGCCGATGACATCAAAGAAAATAGTAAATTCTTTGAAATGATTTTAGACAATCATGAATTAGATAGCATTAAAACTGAAAAAAGATTAAGACATCATCCATTACACAAATCGAAAAGACCAAGATACCCAGGACCAAATTTACCAAACCCACATAATCCACCATTAGCAAGACACCATATTATTCCTTATGTAAGTTTTTAAAAACATCCTAATAAATTAATAATTTTATAATATTAATATTTATTAAAAATAGGGCTCAATGGATGCATTATGGCAATTATCATTAGAATACCCAAAGATTAAAGAGCTTTTCTATTTTATTAATAAAGAACCCACACATCAATATGTTGTATGGTCCTATTGGAATATCTTTGCAGGTCCAAACCCATCCTTAAGATTCCACAAAGATGAATTAGAAAAGATATTTGGAGAAGGAACTCTTGGCTATGACCCAGAAGATTCAGTTGAACCATTAAAACCAGACTCATTTAATCAAACACAATGGAATATTATGCACAAACTTAATGACCTATTAGAGTCTACATATCTACATCGTTCCAAACTTCTATCTACCTCCTCACTATATAGAAAAAACAATCAACAAAAACTCTTATATGAAACTAATTTAGTTGAATATAAGGAAAAATTGGAACAAATTTTCAATTTATTAAATCAAAACAGAATGTTTTTATCTGAAATAGGTGCATTACATGATTATAATATTGATGATTGGGCTAAATATGAAAAAAAATATTATTTATTATCACCAAGATCATATCGTGATTATTAAAAGTAATAACAAATTATAAAACTCAATAAATAAATAAATGGATAAAAAAATAAAAAAATAAATTAATAATGATAAATAAATAAAAAGATAATTTATAAATAATATTTTTTAAAAAAGTTTTATTTTTTTTTAAAAATTTTTTTTTTGTTTTTTTATAGTTTTATAGTTTATTTAAAAACCCTTTGAATATTTGATTTAATTATTTGGTACAGGTGGTGAATCGGGAATTTCCATATCTAAAATTTTTTGTTTATTATTTTTAATTTTTAATTTCTTAATGTCTTTATTTGTTTTTTCTGCTAAATATTTTGCAATTGTTTCATTTCCATAGTGACAAGCTAAACTTAAAGGAGTTCTACCCTTATTATTCTTTTCATCCAAACCTGCATTATATTTTAATAAAAGTTCCAATACTTTAAAGTGATTCCAAAATACTGCTAAATGAAGTGGAGTTGAACCATTAATATTTTTAATATTTACATTGATATTTCTTGATAATAAAAGCTCAATAATTTCTAAACGTGGCTCTTCTGTGCTGATTAAAATATGTATTGGTGCATATCCTTTGATTTCAGAGTTTGTACAATTTAAATTTACACCTTTTTCAACCAAAAATCGAGTGATTTGATCATTTTCGTTGTAGCAAGCAATATGAATTGGTTTCCAACCACCTTCACGAGATAACTCTGGATTTGCACCGCAATCGAATAAATATTTTGCCAATTCTAAATGACCTGCTGAGCATGCATGGAAGAGTGGTGTTGTACCTTGGAAATTTTGACGATTTACATCTGAACCATATTGAGAGATTAATAGTTGTGCAAATTTCAAATGGCCCTCTGCACATGCAGCATGAAGTGGTGTCCAACCCTCGAGATTATATGAATCAACTGCAGCACCTTTAGATATAAGTGATACAGCAGTTTCGATGTTTCCTTTGAATGCGGCTGAATAGAGTGGAGTCCAACCATCAAGACGTTGTTGATCGACAACTGCTCCAGAATTTGCTAAAGTTTCGACAATATTTGCAAAGTTTTCTTCAGCAGCAACATGAAGTGAAGTAGCACCATCTTGATTAACAGCATTGACATCACTACCAGCCTCTAAAAGTTTATCGACAACTTTTTTGTGACCTTTTAATGTAGCATAATGAAGAGCAGTGTTACCTTTTTTATTTGAAGATTTAACATCAGCACCAGCATCTAAAAGTAAATCTACAATTCTTTCGTCACCATTTAATGATACCATCATAATTGGAGTTGAACCATCCTTATTGATTGCATTGACATCAATACCTTGTTTCTTTACTAAAAGTTCAACCATTTGATGGTCGCCTTGTAAAACTGCTAAATGAAGGGGGGCATTACCATCTTGATCTTGAATATTGCAGTCAACGTTTTCAATTGAAAGTAAATATTGTAAAATGTCTACGTTCCTGCTAACAACTGTAAAATGTAATGGTGTACGTCCAGTATTTGTTTTTAAATTTACATTCAAATCATCAGTATACATCTTGACAATCTCGATTTGACCATCCTTGATGGCGTAATGGATAACATTCATACCATAATTATCACTAATTGAAAGAGCTTCATATGATTTAACTAAATTATTAATTGAATCTAATTCGTTTTTTCTTTTTTCTAATTCTTCTCTTTGTCTATCCTTTTGTTCCTTTTCTAATCTTTCTTTTTCTAGTCTTTCTTTTTCTAGTCTTTCTTTTTCTAATCTTTCTCTTTCTAATTTCTCTTTTTCTAATCTCTCTAATCTTTCTTTTTCTTCCTGCTGTTGTTGTGGTGTAGGTGTTAATGGTTGTGGTGGTGATGATGGTGATGATAAAGGTAATGGTGATGGTACAGTTGGGGTTGAATTAATTGGTGTTGATGATGCACTATTGGTTGGTTTATTTTGTGTTAATAATGAATTGCTTGAAGGTTGTTTTGGAATTGGTGCGCCATAGTTTATAACACTTCGGTAGGGTGATGTTGTTGTTGAGTTTGTAGTGCTATTACCATTGCTATTTAGTCCAAATGATGTTTTTGGTGTTCCTGATAATCTACTTATTGAACTATTTGGTGATTTTGATTGTTGTGGTGTTCCATTATTATTGTTATAAATAAAACTATGATCCCAATCTATAACTTTTTCTGTTGAGCCCTGTTCAAAATTAGGTTTATTTACTTGATTTGGATCCTCTACAATTGGCCATTTAATTGGGAAACCTTTTCCTATTGCAATAGTTGCCATTTTACTTAGGGTATGAACAATTTTTTGAAAATTCTTATTTTCCCATAAATCAGTTGCTATAAATAACTCTCTTTCATTAATTCCCATTTTTTTTAATACACCTAAAAAGCTAAATTTAAAAGGAAAAAAAAAAGGTATTAATATTATTTTAATTTTGGTATTGATTAATATACAATACATACGAATTAATATTTTCTAATAATTTAAATGTGATAGATGATTGCTTATTAAAACGTGGTATGATACCTGGGAACATAACATTTGCTAATTTACATAAAACTACACCATCTTTGAGGGCTTGGTGTAAATCATTGTCAATCTCTTCATTTAATACAGATTCAATCCATAATTTACATTCCATTTGCTTAGCTTGCATTTCATAGGTTTGAAAATCTGACATTGTAATTGTAACTGATCCTGCTCCAAACTTTTTACCTCCTGAAGGTCTACTTGGTCTACCATTTATTGACATTTTTATATTACTATTATGTGTAGGTTGATATGTGTTTGAGTGAAGGAGTTGTAGATATTAAATATAGAGTTTCTGTGGGGGGTTTTTATTATTATTATTACAAATTTTATAAATAAATAAATGTTTTTAAAGTCTTTTAAAAAAAAACTATTAATATTTAAAAAAAAAAATATCTTTTTTTTTTTTTTTTTCTTTTCTTTTTTGTTTTTTATTTATTTTAAAAAAAAAAAAAAAAAAAATTATTTTATTTTAATTTTTTTTTTTTCTAATTTTTATTTTTTTAAATAAAAAATTCTATGATACAAAATGTGTAAAATTAAACAATAAATAATAACAAAAAAATAAATAATAAATAAAAAGTTTTTTGTGTGAATAAAAAAGAATAGGATGAAAAATAATAAAATAAATAAATAATTTTGATAAAAAAAATAAAAAATAAAAAAAAAATGGGTTAAAAAATAAAAAATAAAAAAAAAATAAAAATAAAAAATTTTATTTTAAAATAAAATAAGAAAAAAAAAAAAAAAAAAAAATATCTTGCATGTGTGAGTTTTTGTGTGTGTGTTTGTGTGTGTACTACATATATCTATATTCATGAGTTTTTATTTTTTGATTAATTTCTTAGCACCATATATTGTGTATTTGTGCCTACATAATTATTTCCATTTAATTCATTTATTATATATGATATAATTTTTATATATATTACATATATGTAGAATATGCCTTTTATAGTCCGAAAAATTAAATAATAATTATTTTCTTTTTTTTTTCTTTTTAACTTTCTAATTTTTTTTATCACTATATTATCCATATATGTAATATATCTTTATATAGTGTATAGATTTAAATTGATTAAAAATAATAGATAAAATAGATATATAATTATAATGTTTGTAGTATTTTAGGATTTAATCTCCCATTAGAAAATCAAGAAAAAATAAAGGAGATCCACAGCTAATTTCCCAATTTTGAAAATTAATTAATTAAATTTCATAAATAAATAAATAAAGTATAAAAAAATAATTGTAACATACAATAATTTTTTAAAAAAAAAAAAATGAATATTTTACTTTTATTTTATTTAATTTAGATTGGTAAAATTTTAAAATATTTAAAATTCCTCATCAACTAAATTATTATTCTCATTTTCTTCATTATCATAATGTCTATCCAATGAAACTATTATATTATTATTGTTATTATTGTTATTATTGTTATTGTTGTTGTTAATATTATCATTGTCCATACTATTACTAAAATTATTATTACTACTAATATTTAAACTTTCATTTTCTTGATTGATTTTAATTAAATTTATATTTTCAATTGATTGATATCTTTTTTTATATTGTTCTAAAAAGATAATGATGCCAATAATAAATATGATCAAGAATGCAAATACCCAAGCTATACCAGAGAGATTGTATTGGACTAAACCAGTGATAATTGTAACCCATGAAAAGATGAAAACAAATCTACCAGAGAACCAATGGATTTTATCGGGCCATACTGGAATTGAGGATCTTGTTGGTTTATAAAAGTAATGTGAGGTGTATCCTACAACCATTACAAATGTTACCAATATAAATGTAATTAAACCCAATACACTGTGTAAAGATGTGTGGAAACCATCGTTCATAACAAAACCAATGACGATACCAGTCAATATGAAAATAAAAGCACCACCTTGAATTGTGTAGTGTAGTGGCCACCAATATTGATATTGTTTAAAGTAACGTGCGATTAAAATACCAATTGGCATTAGGACACCAAAGCCACCAAACAAAAATGCTGCATGCCACTGAATATAGTTTAGTTGAGATCCACTAGAACCCAATTTGACGGCTACAACACCAGAGTTTGATTTAGTATGTTCAACGAAATCGTTATCTTCTCCTCTTGCCCAAATAAAGTACATTGTTTTATCAATTGAAAGTTCTTTATCGCATGGGTCGTTGATTGTGTAGATTTTAGTAAAATTAATAAATGTGTATGCTTCATTTTGATATGCATCGTTAACAATTAAATCATTAAAACAACCCTGAACCATTTGATCTGGAATTGGTGGAGGTCTTGAAGATTCCTTCATATACATATCATACAATGAAAAATTCCCTTTATCAAACATACCAATTGCATAATCGGCTCCATCCATTTTCCCACCATTGCCCCATCCAATACCTAACCATGTTTTAATCTCTGCTGATAGTATAAAATTGATTGATTTCTGTTCTTTATTGATCTCCCATTGCATTACAAAATATACTCTTGGATCTAATACAACATGGGTCATACAATAATTTAAATTTATAAATAATTTAATTAATAAAATTAAAAAATAAAATTTAAAAAATTTCATTTTTCTTTTTTTAATATTTATAATTATTTAAAAATTTTATTACTTATAAAACTAAATTATTTATTTTTTTTTTTTTTTATAATTACATTAAGAAAAAAAAAAAAATATTAAATAATAAAATTAAATTTTAAAAAAAAAAAAGAAAAAAAAACCGATGTCTTTGTTAAGCAGACACCGAAATGATAATTTTTTTATGATTAGTTGATGGTGCGAATGTGAAAGTCTGTTAAAGAAAAAAAAAAATTATAAATTTAAAAAAAATAAGTTTTTTTAAAAAAAAAAAAAAATTTTAATTTATTTTTTAATTTTTGCATTAATAATCGATTATTGATCATTCAGTGAGGAGAAAGGTCATGTGCTCTCTGTATTCCAACATTAAAAAAAAAAATTAATAGTGGACTAGTATTCTTATGTTAAAATATTAACCTAATGTTTATTGAATTATTAAGACTATAAAAAAATTATAATGTGGCTAGAGGAATAAAAATTTTATTATTCAATTACTTGCTCAGTATGAATAAAATTAAATATTGGTGGATATTTTATTCCGATTTGGGCAACTAAACTTTTAATTGATATTGATAAATATGAACCATAAGGCAAAATCGAAACAAGATCTTCAGTTATTTCTATGGATTCTCGAATCTTGCCCCTGTGTGAATTTAAAAATTCTGGAATACCTTTAATTTTATTGAGATAGTATTCCTTGTGGTTTGGATGTCGATGGACAATATAATTGTTTAGTGTTATTAAATCCAAACCTTGTTTTTCTCTAATACAATCTAAAAAATTCTTATCCTGTATATATTTGTTTTTAAAATCTTTTAAATCAAGATTAGTGCTGAAGGGGTATTGAAATGTATAAGCTTTTGGTACTGTTTCTGAATATGTGGTACAGATTTTATATATTTGTCTACTTTGGTATTTCTTAATTTCTGGTAAATTGTCTGCTATCCATTGTGGTAGTATTGAATTAAGATATAAATCAAATAAAAAGGTAACTGATAAGACTAATTTTTCTTTTTCTAATTTTATAGTTCTTTTATCTTTAATTCCCATTATTACTTCTAATTTCCTGATTCTTATTTCTAATTCAGCTTTCATAATTTTAAAATCGTTTTTCAAATCTGAAAATTCTTTTCTAAAATGGTGATTTTCCTGGTGTTCTTCCTTTGAACATTTACTTCTTTTATCTTGACTCTCATCTTCCAATGAGAATGTGCTAATATCATAAGACATTATTTAAAATTTTAATTAAAATATAAAAACAAATAATGAACAAAAAAATTAAAATTTATTTAAAGGAATTTCTAACAGAAATAATTTTAAAAATTAATTAATATTATTGAAAAAAAAAAAAAAAAACATTAATTTAAAAAACATTTTCAAATTATTTTAAAAGTTTTCTCAATGTTTAAAAATATAAAAAAAAAATTGATAAATTTAATTTTTAAAAAAAAACTGATGTAATTAGAAATGATTGTATAATGGTGTTTTTTTTTTTTGTTATTAAGTAGTTATTTGGTTTTTAATATTAAATAAATTTATTAAATAAGGTTTATTTTTTTAAATTTTTTAAAATAATTAAATATTAATTTTAGCATTTCGTTCCATTCGAAAATTTTGATTTTGTTTAATAGTTTAGATTGAATTGTTGAAATATAAAATAATATGTTCCCAATGTTACTATTGTTGTTGATGTTATTGTTATTGTTTATATTATCTATATAATAGTTTAGTTCTAATATTAAAATATTTGAAAATAATAAAAAAGAATCGATGCTGCCAATCCATTTATAAAATGAATTTTGATTACCTTTTGATGATGATTCTTGAAGCACAACTTTTTCATAAAGATTAGTGCCAATGTTATAAAATTCTTGCATGGTTTCGATCGAAGTTTTAAGCATAGCTCGTAAAGAGTTAAAAAAATCAGTTTCATTCTTACTTGGGAATGGGTTTATTTTATCTAAGAGTCTTAATGTTAGTTCGATCATATTGTTGTTTTCCTTTAGATTGATAAGTTCTTTATCTTCTCTTGTGTTAAATTGTATTAGTTGGTTTAAATACTCCCTGCATTCATTCTCTACACTAATATCAATTTCTATTGATATATATTTGCTTTCCCCAATGTATTCTTTTAAAATGCTGCTTTGGTTTTCTTCGATTCCACTTTCTTCTGGTAGTTCAAGTTTCAATTTAAATGCTAAAAGTTTATTATATAATTCTATAAAGCTGGATAGTCTTGATACTGATAAAACCTTTGTATGAAATTGTGATTTATAATGCTTTTCTTTATTTTCTAATAGTTGTAACAGTTCTTTATCAACTTGATTACAATTTACTTTATCGGTAAACTTTAAACATAAATTGAGGGATATTGCCATAATTTGCTCTAAGAATATAAATGGTATTTCTAAAGCTTCAATTTCTCCATGTGATAACTTATCCCTTAACCTAGGACCGTCTGGGTAGATTAGTAAATCCAATAAATTGGATATAATGGGCTCACCAACATGTTTAATAAGTTGGTTATTAAATAATATTTCCTTTTCCTCGCTTTTGCCATTATTATTCGGAATGTTACCACTATCTGAATTTTCACCATCTTCAACTCCATTGTTTTTAAATTTATAGTATTTTGGGTTTTCATATTTTGAATAGTTGGAGTTTGATGTTGGGATTTGGAGATGCTTCTCTTCACTGAATTCAGTACTATTACTAAATGCTGAGGTTGAAAGCAATAGTACATTTGAAAGGAATAAATCTAAAGTTGTATAGAATGAAATATAATCGGCATTTAAAAATTTATCTGGTAAACTATTTGATTGGACAAAGCTAACTCTGAGTGAATGCTCTAGTTGAGGCAATAACAGTACTAGGCAAGAGTAAATACTATTAGTGTTGATATTATTATTACTATTATTATCACCATTACTATTACCATTGCTATTGCTGAGGGATTCGAAATATTTATTAAATGATTCTTTCCATATACCAACTCTACCGGGTACTATAAAATCATTATTTTCTAAAATTATATTTATTTGTTTTATATCAAAATTTAATATTAATTTGCAATTGTTTGTGGTGATTATATTTTTATTATTGAATTTTTTATTTAAATTTATGATTGGTCTTGAAATTATTTTTGTATTGTTATTAGTATTATTATTTTTATACTCTTTAAATTGTAAAGAAATTGTAAAAAGTAGATGAATTATAAACAGTAATAAAGAAAGCTCAAATTCTTGGGGTGATATGAAACCGTGCCAAATTGTATTTCGAAGATTTAAACCAATAGGGGGACCAATTAAAATTTTAAGTAATAAAATAATATTTGTACCTAAAACATCACATAAATTACCATCGTCTAATAAATCTCTTAACATTCTGCCTAATACTGGTGGTTTGTTTTCTTTATAAACCAATTTCCAAAATATAATATCACCCAATAATCTTTCTAAAATTGATAATACAATTGAAAATTCCAGTGTTATATTTTCGTTGATGTCATTACTCTGATCATTTTTAATTATCTTTTCTCTTAAAGAAATTAAAATTTCTTTAAATAAATTTATCTATACTTAAGAAAAATTATTAATATTTAAAATAAAAATTAATTTACATATATATATATCTATATAGTTTATCTATAGAGTATAATTACATTTGGTATGATATTATTTAAACCTAATTCATCCAACCATTGATATGATTCGCTTAGTATCAAGTTGTTTTTATTTTTAATTTCGTAAAATGGCAATAGTAATCTTGAAACCTTTCTTAAATGAATTGAATTTGTTTTAAAAAATTCTAAAAGTATTTGGTCACAATCATTGTCGTGTGAATTGAAATGGTTATTATTACTGCCATTGCTATCATTATTTTTTTCATCACTATTAATATTACAATTGTTGTTATTACCGCTACTATTATTTGATTTAATAAAGTATAACCAATCATTTAATGATTTATTAAAAGTTTGATTATTATATTGTATTGATTTAATTATAAGATCAACACCGTTATTTATTGTTAAATTATTATTATTTAATAAACTAGTTATTTCTATATTGGGTGAAGGGTTATTTAAAATATCACATAATAAATATTCTGCCACATTTTTTGAAATATATGATTTTTTATTCATTGTTTTTTATAAGAACTATTTTTGAAAATAAAATTATTTTTATTTAATTATTATTATTACTAGCATATATGAACTGTGTGTTTATAAAATTATTGTAATTAAATTTGTTTTTATAAAGGGTATTGAATTTAGTCCAAATGGAAATAATTTGAGAAAATTATTTATTTTTTTTTTTTTTTTTTTAAAATTTAATTTTTTTTTTTTAAAATTTTTTTTTTGATTTTTTTCTTTTTTTTTCAATTTTATTTATAATCAAATAATTAAATAAAATAAGGTTAATTAATTAATTCCTTTTTTTTTTTTTTTTTGTTTGCGTTGTATTATTATTTGTTTTCATTATATATATTTTTAGTTATATATTTTATATATACATATAAATCAAAAAATGATAGCAGCACATTGGAAAAATATTGGTAATTCAACATATATTAAAAAAGAAATTTATAGTATGGAATGGGATGTTGATTTAAAACAACAAGTAGCAGTAGCAGCACCATTCGCAGGTCCAATTGCAGTGATGAGAGATTCTACCAAATTTGTTGAAGTCAATTCACAAAATATGAAACCATACTTAAAGATTTATACAGCTGCTGGTACTTTAATGTCACAAATGATTGTAAGATTAACTATAAATAGATAATAGTAGTTTATTCGGATAGTTAATAGAAATATTTTTACTAATATATTTTAATTTTAAAAGTGGGATTCGTCAAAAAAGATTGTAGCAATGGATTGGATAGAAAAAGAAAGATTAGTTTTAGTATTACAGTAAGATCATATTAAATATAATAATAATAAAAATAATATTGGTTTTTATTAATAATTTAAATAAAATCTTTAGAGATGCAACAGTTTTAATTTATAATATATTTTGTGAACTAAAAACTCAATTTACACTAGGTGATGTTGTAAGACAAGAAGAAATTTTAGAATGTAAAATTTGGAGTGATGGTATTGTAGTATTAACATCAGCAGCAAAACTTTATTCAGTACCTTCAATTAATGATTTCTTTGAAGAGAATGGTAAAGTGATTCGTTTACCTCAAATACCAGAAGAGTTTGGAGAAAAGAGACCAGAATGGGCTATTTTAGAACCACAATTTTCATTAACCCAATCATTAGAAATCTATATGTCAATCAATGGTACATTATATTTAATCGATGAAGATAAAGTGGAAGCACAATTAGATTCAACAGATATACTTTTAAAGATGGAAATTTCACCATGTGGAAAGAAATTAGCATGTTTTGATAGAAAAGGCACATTATTAATTTTAAATATTGATGGTAGTCACTCCTCTGCTCCAGAAAGAATGGATACCAAGTCCCCTAAAGTTCCAACATTAAAGTGGTGTGGTAGTGATGGTATAGTAATGTATTGGGACTCTATAGCCAAAGAACCAGTTTTTATATTCTTTTCAAATGGCGATTGGGCTAAAATTACATTGGAACAACCAGTATCATTAGTAACCGAAATTGATGGTGTACGTATTATATCTGATACAACATCCGAATTCTTCCACAGAGTATCCGACGTAACTGTTGATCTTTTCAAGATTGGTACTACCTCGCCATCATCAATTCTCTATGATGCCACCGAACATTTTATTAATAAAAGTCCACAAGCCGATGAATCAATTCGTTCAATTCGTGACTCTTTACAGGATGCCGTCAATAGTTGTATTTTAGCTGCAGGTTATGAATTTAGTGGTGCCGAACAATCTAAACTTTTAAAAGCTGCTTCATTTGGTAAATGTTTTTTAGACAGTTATAATCCATTACCATTTGTTACAATGTGTAGAAATTTACGTGTTTTAAATGCGGTTAGACATCATGAAATTGGTATACCACTTTCAATTCAACAATTCCGTTATATAGGTATCGATGAATTAATTGATCGTCTTATCAATAGAAGAAAACATCTTTTAGCATGGAGAATCTGCGACTACCTCAAAATTAAATCAGATGTTGTACTCAATCATTGGGCTTGCACTAAAGTTAGAACTGATATTCCCGATCAAGAGCTCAGTCAAATTATTATTAAAAAGCTCGAATCTGTTCCAGGTATTTCATTTGCAAATATTGCATCACAAGCTTTCCTTTCAGGTAGAAGTAAAGTAGCAACTAAACTTTTAGAATACGAACCAAAAGCCGCTGAACAAGTACCACCATTAATCAAGATGGGTGAGAGTGGTATGGCCCTCAACAAAGCTATCGAATCTGGTGACACCGATCTTGTTTATTTAGTATTACTATCAATGAAAAGAAACTTGGAAATATCACACTTTTTAGAAGTTACATTTAGCAAAACTGTAGCATTAGATCTCTTAATCAACATGTGTAAACAAAAGAACGATCTTCCACTCCTTAGAGAAATTTATGATATTAAGGGTCAAATCAGAGAGATGTCAAATATATTTTTAACTGAAGCATTTAGAAACCCAGATTTAGATGGTAGAATGAAAGCATACCACAAAGCAATCGATTGCCTTCGTCAATCGAAAGATAAAGAAGATCAATCAACTCTTAAAAATGTTGAAGACCAAATTAAATTAGAGATGCTTCAAAAGGAATTAGAAACATCCCTTCAAGAGCAATTCGAAGGTATGTCAATTAGCGATACAATCTATAAATTAATTTCATTAAATCAAGGTAAAAGAGCCAACTCTATAAAGTCTGAATTCAAGGTACCAGACAAGCGTTTCTGGTGGATCAAAATCAAAGCCCTCTCGATAATGTGTGATTGGGAAGAGTTAATGAAATTCTCCAAAGATAAAAAATCACCAATTGGTTACGAACCATTTGTCGAGGTTTGTTTAGAACAAAAGAATCAAATTGAAGCTTTAAAATATATCCCAAGAATTACAGAATCTTTACCAAAAGTTCAATTCTATATACAAATTAGTTATTTTAGAGAAGCCGCAGATATTGCTTTTAAAGAAAAAAATGTCGATTTATTAAATTTAGTTGCTAAAAAATGTACAAATCCTGAAGTACTTAAAGTAATTGAACAAATGTTCCAACAATTAAGAAGATAAAAATAATTATAATTTATAAATTAAATAAAGTTTAATAATAATAATAACAACAAAAATAATACATAGTTTTTATTTTTTTTTTATTTATTTATTTTTTTGATTAAAAGTTAAAAGTTAAAAGTTAAAACCTTTTTTTTTTTTCAACTAAATGTACAAATATATTCATTTCCTAAAATAATATTTGTTGTTTTTATTTTAATAATCTATTTATTTGAAGCCAGTTTTTTTTTTTTTGTTGTTTGTTTGCTATTTTTTTACAAATATATTATATGGGTATATTTTATATGTGTTGTTGATGTTTGAATGATCACTATTTTAATGTTTTATTGATTATCATTTATGTGTGTCACTATAAAATATTTTCTAAATCTAATATTATGGTTGTTGTTTTTTTTTTATAATTTTTTTGTTGTTATAATGTTTTTAACCACAAATTTAATATACTTTTTTTGAAAATTTGATGCTATTTGTTATTGATTGTGTGTATGTGGGTGGGTGAGTGTGTGTGTGTGTGTGTGTTTTAAAAAAAAATAATAAAAAGAAAAATATAAAAATAATTTCTAAAAAAAATTTATATATTTAAATTTTATATATTTTTTCATAATATAGCATAAAATAAATATAATATATTCAATCTCAAGATTCCCAACCCAATTCTGTGCTCTAAAATTAACCTACATCGCTCTTGGTATATAAAAATAGTTTGATGAAAGGGGGTTTTATTTTTTTTTTTCCTTTATTTTTGTTTTTATTATTACTTTTTTTTTTTTTTTAATTATAATTTTTTTTTTTTTTTTTTTTTTTTAATAATAATTTTTTATATTTTTAAAAGATAAATGAAATTTATTAATTATAATAAATAGCAATAAAATATTTAAAAAAAATATAATAAAAAAAAAAATATTAATTTATACACCTTCATTAAAACTATATATATTTTAAAATATAAAAAATAAAAATTCATAAAAAAAAGAAAGCAAATTTTTTAAAACCGAACAAATAAAAGAGGGAAATTATAGTTTTGCTCTACAAAATAAAACTTTTAGTTTTTTCAATAAAAATAATTTTAGTGTTTTAAAAAAGAAAATGGGGCCATAATTATAACAATAATATAATTACATATATATTTGGGTAAGATACCATCATTTCAAATTATTTGTTTTTTTTTTTGGGGGATTATAAAAACTATTTTTTTTTTTTTTTTTTTTTTTTTTTTTTTTTTAATTTTCAATTTTTTTTTTTAATTTTATTTTTTTTTTTTTTGAAAAATTATCTAAAATTTCATTGATCATAATTTCAATTCAATGATAGGGATAAATGCGATGATTGTCACCATTAAATATACCATTTTATTTATTTATTTTTATAAAACACATTTTAAATAATTATTATAAAAAAAGAATAAAAAGAAAATAATAAATTTAATAATGAATTAGATAAAATAATGTGTTTTAAGTGTGCGTTAAATAATAATAATAACTATCAATATAGTATTATTTTAACCACTCTAAATTTTTGTGGTTGTATGTATATAATAATAATAAAAATAATAAAAATAATAAAAATAATAATAATAAAAACAATAATAGATATATAAAAATAAAATAAAATAAAGATATATATAGTTTGTGTGTTGATGTGGGTTTAAAATAGAATTTTCAAAAAATTCAGAAAACACACATACCCACACTAACCCACAATTTATCTTTATATAAAAATTAAAAATAGCAGTACCACAATTGTGTTCACTTTCATTTATACAAATTAGAAAACAAAAAGTGTGTGAGGGTGTTATGTGTGTGTTTAAATTTGAGGATAATTATTGTTTTTTTTTTTTGAATGTGTATTTATATATATAAAAATAATAATAATAATAATCAATTTTGATATATTATTATTGTGTTTTTTTTTATTGGAGCAAGTAGCAGTAATAGTAGTAGTGGTAGTGGTAATAATTAAAGAAATCACCAAAAAATAGGGGTTACCAACACACTAATAGTTAAAATTAAAAAAGAAAAAAAAAAAAAATTCTAATTCAAACTCATTCTTTAAAAAGAAATTTTACACACAATTTTGCTCATTAATTTTAATCTTTCTTTTTATGTATTTAGGTATATAAATTGTATTGTGTTAAAAAAAAAAAAATTTAATCTCACCACACTTTATTGAATATACCATTTATATTTATA